GCCCAAAGGACATGCATAATATCACCACATTTATCCACCACCTTCCCATCAAGATCTATTTTCCCTCTCACCTTCAGAAGCAACAGACAAGCCCCAAGTCAGAGACCCCCAATTCCAGTTTCATCCTAACCCCTCGTTTCCACTATGCCAAATCTGAACCATTTGGTCTATTCCCAGAAACCTGTTAGCCCCTGTGTGGCCATACTGCCTTGGCCCAGGTATCCCCATATGACAGAACACTAGAGTTACACCATAATACTCTTTTATGCCTTCCTGTATTCTCTTTGCTATTGAGTAACACATAAATTTGGTCAACTACCTCCCTGCTTTAGCGTTATTTACAAGCCAAAAGACTCTATAGCAAATGGAGGCCTGGCAGCCATGATCAGGTGGCCACCAGCTCTGTGTTCCTAGCCACCTGCATCTTGATGGACCAGATGAGTAGTTCCAACCAAAGGAATGTGAGCTACAACTCATCCCTTCTGGATGAGAGGATTAGTGCAGACCCAGGCAGTGAGTGACTTGAGGCAGGAGTTGTATCTTACTCATGCTTCTCCTCAAGCTCCCAAGCAGCATACGGAAGAAACTCAGACTGTTTGGTAAATGAAAAAAATTAAAGGAATAACTCATGATTGAACCAGAAGTCCCCTTGTCCCATTCACATATACCCTTCCTGAACACACAAGACATTAGAGTGAGCAAAATTCAAAGTACAATGAAGACATTAAAATGTATTTATATGGATAAAGTAGCTAATATAACAAAATGAAGATACAAATTCTAGTCTGGCATAATATCCGTACTACGTGAAGATATATTAAAGCGCACTTTCAAGGTCCTGGCACTCACCTTGACTTTCAAACTCAACCATGAGCGAGCTCTTCTGAGCCCTGCCTATGTGCTCCTTTCATGACTCAGCCCACAGTCTCATCAGCTTCTTACTGTGGCTAAGACCGTGACCTGCAGTGCACCAGGGGCATGTACTCATCTGAGGTTTCCCGCCTGGATCCTAAGCTCATCACCACTCTCAGAACACTTTTCTCTAATCCTTTCTTTAAAATGTTGTCAGGGTGAATGCAGTGAAATTTCAAAATAAAGACGTAAAGCAATAGCATGTCCACCTAAACTGAACTGACTGGCAGACAGCATGACCATAGGCTAAGTCAAAGTACTCATTAGTCAGACGATCAAATGATCACTGTTCAGAGGAAAGCTTGGCAGGCTGCATGGACACCAAAGGAAGCCCAGTGCATCCAAAGCCGAAAACCCCCTCTCTCGCAAGAGGCAGACATGAGGAAAACCCAGATGTGGCAAGGAATAGAGTGACCTCCTTATAGCCATTCCCACTGGGGTGACCCTCAGATGGACAGAATGACCCCAAATGCTCTCCTGCCCCACACTTTGGGTCATGTGCAAGAGTCCTGCAAAAGATTGGTCACCTACAATGCATTCTCTTACCAGGAGATGGAACCACCTCTTTATTCTTGTGGAAGTTCTTGAAAGAGGCTGAAATGAAAAGGGACATAGACGTTAGTGTGCTGAGCAGGTGCTTCACTGAGATCCTTCAGTAGGACACCTATGGCTAAGAGAACCGGTGAAGTGCAACCTGTGAGATAGCTTGGAGAGAATTTCAGGCCAAGAAAAATGACCCTTCTGAAAATACAACCATGCACTTGTTATATAGAAATGGATAGTGATATATTACCATTCTCCAGGGTTATGGGGCAACTGTTTGGATGTTTTCCCAAAGAGAAAAGCATGTTTTGCTTGCTCCTTCCTTCAGCTTCTCAGTAGTCTCCCAATGACTGGCGGTAGCAATTCTTGTGTTGTACTTTGCACCACAGTAACAAGAGACCCTCTCCAGCAGCACTCTGACAGCATATTACCACAGATAACAATAAAAGAATATTTTCCCTAACATGAAGAATACTAAAACAAGCCACATGTAACCGACACCAGCTCCCCTAGAGAAACACACTCATGCACGCAGGTATGATGTAAAAGCGATACGACTTCTCTATAGACCTGCCACAGTTAAGCATTCCAACCAATAAGCCTGCTTTGATTTCAGATATGTTGTGAAATTCACAAAAGACTTCTGTCCTCCCCCCTCATACCCCTCCAACACACACTACCTAGGAGCTGAATATATTTGCTGTATTCAAATGTTCCCTTGCTTCAACACCGGCATCAGCACAACTAACGGAAAATTTTTCGTTAATATGCACTTCAGTTCTTTTGAACTCAGGAACAATGATCAGTAGAATTAGCCTGAGAAGCTTCAGTGCTTATTGTCACTGAAGGAAGGAATGTGAGAGGCCACCAAGAGAATGACTGCACAGGTGGTGCTGCCAAGAACAGCAGCCAAGGGGTCTGAGAACAGGAGCAGAGAAGTCTAAAGAGAAGGCTGGTTTTCATTACAGCTGTGGGCTTTCAAAGGCCACCATGGATCACCTGACAGGGCATCAACACAGCCTTCATCTCCAGTGAAATCCAGCTGCTGCATTCCTAGCTTTAAACCTCAGGGGGCTGAGTTGGTAGAGTGCTTGTTCAGCATACACAAAGGACTGGATTCCAGCCTCAGATTCACACAAAGCTAGGCATGATGGCCCATGCCTATAATACCAACTCAGGAGAGATGGAAGCCAGAGGATCAGAGTTAAAAGACATCTTCGGTTCCGTGACAAGTTTGAGGCCAGCCTGGGATACATGAGACCCGGTTTCAAAAACAACAAACCTTGTGCTTGCCTGCATTTAGTTTTGCAACTGTCGGAACATGGGAGATGCAGCGGCTTATGATGCAAGATGTTAGCCAGTGATTTGTGAAAAAGAAAAAAAAAATCCACCCTTTGATTTCAGATGTGATTAGTGTGTGAAAAGATAGAAACCCAAAGTTAAAAAGTGGTTAACTTTTGACTGTCAGGGCTGTTACCTAGGTAACTGATTCTCTGTAGCTAGAACAGCTCTTGAATATTTCAGGAAAGGCATTTCCCAAGTCCTGCAGGAACCACAGTTAAATCAGAAAGTACTTTGAACTCTATAAATCAGTGTCAAGAAAGTATTCCCAATCAGCGGTGGTTCTGTGGTGTTGGAGCTCTCTGGCAACCACCAGATTGTCTAAATATGAAATCCATTTATTGAGAGTCATTTTACACCTGAATCTGGACTGTCACCATAGGAGGTCAGATGTGGCCTCAGGTATGAGTCCAGAAACTTCCAGATTTTTGCATCATTTTGGATTTTGGAATTTGGGATAAGGACACTCAGTCTGTATTCAGAAACTATCATGCTTAAAGAGATGGGGGGCAGAGGCTAGAGAGTACAAAAAAAACCAAAGTCAACCTCCTCGACAAAGTCCTTTGGGCCTGTAGAGCGGCTCTCAGCACAAAGTCCCTCCTGACTCTCGTTCATATGGAACTTTGTATTCTATTTTTTTATTCTTTCTTTAAAGGTCTCTAGCTTCATTTTCTCTCTCTTTTTGTTGTCAGATACCTGAAATCCTTCTGGCAATAGGATAACAGCCTATTCAGCATTGGCCAGAGTTTCAACTTCAGTGTTTGATTGACACACAGTAACCATCAAATAGCCAAGGGGGCAGGCAATAAAAGTCAGCCCAGTGCAAGGGGGTCTTACCCAAGCCAACAGGAGAAAGAACAGAGAAGGACCCCTGCCCTCACCCCACATCTGCACATGTCTTTAAGTGGGTGCCACAGAAGTGAAATGACTTGCTCTTGGCATGTGGTACTGAAGGAGTGAGTGAGGTGCATGAAAAGGCCTGTCTGCTGGGATTCCCGCTGCGCACCGCTTGTTTAAGCCAGTTAGGAACATTTGGGATCTGAGTGCTTATATTAACTCTCAACTTCTTTCTTTCAGCTCCCAAGCATTTTTTACCTTAATTCTTCATGTACACAGGTGTTCTTGCCTGCATGGTATATCTGTGTACTACATGTGTACCTGGAGCCCACAAAGGCCAGAGGAGGGCACTGGACCCCCTGAAATGCGAGTTATAAGTGGTTGTAAGCCATCATATGGGTGCCGGGAATAGAACCTGTGTCCTGTGGAAGAGCGGCGAGTGCTCTCAACTGCTTAAGCCATTTCTCCAACCTCTAGTTCCCAAGCATTTTAACAATGTTAAGCAATTATATACTAACCTCCTCCTAGAGATTTTAGCATATTCATTGTCAACTTCTCTGTGTCCATTAGAAGGAAGCTAGCTACAAATCAGAGAGGGCCTGCACTACACTGTCTGTGGCTATCAGAAAGGCAATAAGCCCCAGCACACTTAAGATTGCCTTAAACCCCACCTGCGTTAGGCACACTGTGAAACAATTTACAAAGCACACACACACATTCAAGATTACTCCAAGAGACTGAAACGGGGCTGCCTAGCATCAAATGCCATACAGAAAATGAATTAGTGTGCTGCCATAAAGCGAGTGGGGAGTCTCAGAAAAAAAGAAACCTAGAAGGACGGAAAGAAAATATCTACAAGGAAGGTAAGTGAAAGTGACTCCAACACCATTTTTTCCCTTGTTCTTTCCATGGGCACTCTCTAGACCCAAACTGAAACCTTCAGTGGTTCAAAGTCAGTCCCACACCACGGCCCAGAACACATCCTGAGTCCTTGGCCATGACTGGAGACACCATCTGACTCCATGCAGTCTGCCTTCTAGTCAACAGCAATGCCAAGGCTGAGCAGAGAAGGCAGCTCGAGGTGCTGACCACGTCACCTGAGTTTCACAGATTCCTCTGGTTTATGTGGCTCTGGGAAAGAAATCCATCTTTCTGTGTCCTCCTAAACTTAAACTTAGAAAACAGTTTCTTCCAACACTAATATGATGCAGTCAAAAATTGTTCCCAGGGGGCTATAGAAAACATATTACTGCCCTGGATTAGACTTCTAGGACTTGAAATTGCCTCACCCTCCTGGGGAAGAAAAAGGAGCTTGCAGATCTCAACCACAGGGAACATCTAATTCCTCAGCCTCATCTTACCGATGAAGACATGGGGCCCCTGCAACTGGTCTGTGTTGACACAGCCCCTCGACAGCAGGTCCAGGGCTGCTATCAGGTCTTTGGGATGCAGGCTCAGGACTTGCTCTCCTTTGCACCATGCTGCGGTCCTAATCACCGTTTTATACCTAAGTAAAAGATCACAGAACATCGCTGAAGGGATTCGCTAACAAATAATGATAATTAGCATGAACCCCTCCACTAAACAAACTCAGATTTTGCAGGGTCAAAATAAAGACCAACTGCACAAACATTTGCCTACCAAACACCTGTGAAACTAAAGAAGCCACTTAAACATCCTGATGGACATTTAGGCACATCAGCCAGGGCCAAAGTCCCCAGAAAACAGGACAAGTGGTTGCTTCCATTTCTAATGTCCTTGACTACTATGGGCTGTGTTTTCAGTAAAATCCCTTCTATGTGTTTAGCAACATTTCATTGAACCAATATGGCCTCATTAGCCTAGGTGGTACTGGTGCCGGATGTCTCACTAGCCTAGGCGGTACTAGTGGTGGTTGGCCTAACAAGCCTGGGTGGTACTTGCCTTGCAGCCTCCATATCCAGCTGCTGTCACAGGCAGCTTCTCTTCAAAAATGCAACTAAAATGCAAAGCCACGAGGCTCCAGAGGAAGTCTGGATATGGGCTTATTTTCATACTCATGCATAAATACCTGATTGAAGCTCCTGAAAGGAATAGCTCTGCCTACCTGATTAGAAAAGAAATTATTCAGAAAACTCCTCTTGTGGTCAATTAGGGGCTGGGGGCCTTGAAACCCAGCAATCCAACATGCTGTTTAGGGTCACTCTAATAACCACTAAAAGCACAGGGACAGAAAGCAGACACCTGGCTCAGAGAGGTGAGTCTATGTGGCTTTGCTCCAAGATGGAAAGGGAAACCGGAATGTCACTATGATGCATTTCTCTTGACACTACAAGCTGTCACTACAAGCCAAAGAAGTCAGAACAAACACCTCGGAGGAAATACCACAAAGTCAGGTGAACTGGTACTGCTGGCCAGAGGCAAGCTGGTCATGACACATGCCCTACCCTGCTTCACAAGGCCACCTGGACTCCGGGAGCCCAGCTGTAACCAATGCTTGCAGCTCTTTGAGAACAATCGTAACAAGTAATCAAAAATCAGAGCTAATCTCATTTATTAATATAATTCATGTATTAACAATTTTCTAGTTACTAGGTCGACTCAATCACAGAAACCCAAAACAAGGTATCTAATGAAGCCCAGAAAGATAGAGATGTAGCCTGAAGAACCTCTGCCTGGACAGTCTGAATTTTCAGTGCACGAAGGAACTAGAAAGTGAGAAAATGTGCTTGCATCTATACTGCAGAGAAAGAGGTGTATCCAGCATGTATCACACTGCAGAGTCCTGGCCCCTAGATATAAGCACTGTTGGAAGAAAGGCCAAACCAATTAAAGATCCCAATGGTGGGAGAAATGGCCTTTTGTCTGTCTCATTTGTTTCTGCTTTCTGTCTCTCCTTCTACTTCCTATTCCCAGAAATAAAAATAACTACAATAAAACAGCCAAAAATTTTCCCCAGTGAGCTAAGGAAAACTTACTACTGCTTTGAATTAGACTTCAGGTCTTGAAACTGCCTCCTTCTCCTGGAGAAAATGGAACTTGCAGAGCTCATGAAATGCAAGATGCCATGGTGCTTTGTAAACAAGTTAGAACAGGGAGCCACACATCCTCCCAAGGACCACATCTGAGAGGATGAATGGCCGGCCACTAACAGCTACGGCCTTCTTGAGGAAAGAGGCATTTTTAAGGTCAAGTGTGAAATGGTTGATTCCCTACTCCCAAATAAATCTTAGTTCTGGGCCACAATTTCTGGTGGCCTCGGTGTAACTGATGGCCTGTAACATCCCGGTCTAACATGCCTGAGTGAAAAACTACTCTGGAGCTTGGAGACTGAAATTGAACTTCAGGGATATTTGTGGTACCCTCAGGGCAGCTAGGCATTTGGAAATAATCATAAGAACTCATAGCACCTGGCCAACAGCTGCTCTGGTAGACAGTATGAAACTACCCCAAAAAAAGCTTGCAGTGGAAGAGGCAGCCCCGGGAGACACAAGCCCAATAGCAAGCCAGCACGGGAGTGTACTGACCATGGAGTCCGTGAGGGACAAACTCTCCTCTCCAGTAGAATGAGAATAGTCTTCAGCAAGGTTGCCACAAAGGCATCTTAGAATCTGTTCAGATTTTCAAAATATTATAGCCGTTGACTTAATACATGACTAACTAATTTAAATCTCAATACCCATAAGTGGGACTTCATGGGTGTTATGATACTGGAAAGGGTTGGTATAGGTGTGGAGGTGAAGGCTGTAGGAAGACCTTGCTCAAGCACCTTGTTTCTGAAGCAGAAGCACCTGGAAGGATTTCTCAATTAAAACTCAAATCATGGAAAGGAAAGAGAAAACAGGTCAGACCCAGCTCTAAGCTGAATGGACGCCTCCATCAAGGACTTATTTGAAGTGACAAGTGGACTCATTTCTGGAGACTAAGTAAGAGGTTGCACTTCTCCTCCAACTGGGTGCAAATACCACCTCCGTGTCTTAATATCTGAGGGGTCCACTTTGTAAACCTCTTTTCTTAAAGGCAGAAAAAGATTCTCCGATAATCTTATCTGCATTTGTCTCTGATGTTACCAGGCAGAGAAGAAAACCAAAGATGACTCGGGATTCACTGCAAATTCTATGTGTGATCGTCAACAATTATAATGAAATGTTAGCATTAAAAGCCAAAATAGCACACACACTGTAAGTGTGATGCTCCAGAAAGTCGGTGTCCCTGAAAAGTTCCCCCTCAATTCCCTCCCTCCCTCCTCTCACACACTCACCTCCTCTTCTCTCCCCTTTTCCTCCCCTCTTTCCACTTCCCTCTCTCTCCCAGCCCAGATGCTGCCATGCTGCCCCTAGTACCCCACAAGATCCAAGGCCCCCACCTCCACAGGTGAGCTTGTTGCTACTCCTTGTCACCTCTTCCTTCAAGGCTGCCCTCAGTGTCTATCCAGTCTAACTCTGACCACACAGACATTAAGGGAGGTCAGCCAGCACCACTTATCAGGCAGCTGCTGTCCACATGCCTGAGAATGCAGCTCACCTACACCTACACTCAGTAGAACCTACACCTCCTTTACTCAGTGACAGTACTACATCTGTCCTCCATCCACACACCAGCAGTCATCTAATAAATAAGCAAAGTGGAGAGAGATAGGAAGACAAGCCAGGAAGACAGCACCCCATGGTGCCAAGTGACCCTCTGCTAGGAGATCTCATGGGAGACATACACCACTATGCCCTATATTTTTAAAAGGGGGACTGAAGGTGCTTGATTCGGGAGCATTACTTGCACTCAGAGAACACAGATGCTGTGGATGGAACACTTGGCCACCGTATATACACTGGGATGCTGAGCTTCTTATTCCTTCCCACAGCAGGAAATTGACGCCTCAGATGATTCTGAGAGTGAGCTCTGGCCACCTTTCAGTTCAGTAATGCAGGAAACAGACTTGGGCTCAGTATCTAACCTCTCTGCCTCAGTTTCCTTATCTGTGAACTATCAAATACCTCTAAAGGGTTTTTACACTCCCCCAAGCATTGCCCCAAGCACAGTGACATTCAATGCTGTTGTATATCATTTTCCTATTCTTGGTAGCCACTGTGGTGCACCGGGAAGCAGGACGGCAGACATTTCTAGAAAATGGTTTTCAACAACAATGCAAATCCACATGGTGGTATAGCCCTGGGATCTCAGCCCTTACAGGTTGGGAGCAATGGGATTAGAAACTCAAGACCAGTGTAGGTTATATTAGGCCCTATCTAAAAACACCAACAAATAAACTACAAATCGTGTGTGTATGTGTGTGTGTGTGTGTGTGTGTGTGGTGTGTGTGTGTGTGTGTGTCTGTGTGTGTGAAGCAATAACATGAAAAATTAGGAAAGGAATGTATAATTTAGTGATATTGTGGAGGTTTTATGGTAGAGAGAGGTTATTTTTTTCTCTATGATGTGTTCTCTGCATTTTCTAAGTTATTTTTCAAGAGACAAGCTTAGCCTATTGTACACTAGCTGTTCACAATAGGATCTTACACACATTCTCATGCAGCAGCTGAGTATTTAACAAGTGCACATATTTCTACTTCTTCAACATTTACATCACATACCTTTTCTCTTTCTGTAGTGTCTTAAGGGAAACCTTTTCTTAAAAGACATTCGTGAATGGTCTCCCTGAAACAGAAACCAGTCGTGTTAGCAGCTAATACTTCTTCCTCTGCCCATAAGCAAGATCCTCAGGACTGGATTATTCAGCTATGGCAGAAACCTGAGACATGGTCCACCAAGCATCAGTCCACAGAAGATATCCAAGACGACCTGCCAAAACCCAGGAGCCAACCCTGAGAGGTCAACACCTCTCCTAGCCAGCTATGGTCAGCATGAGTCCACATACCAAGCCTGTGAAGTCATTTCCACCTACATTAACTCTAGAGTCCCAAGTTCTGTACTTCAAGGGAAACTTAGTCACCTTGATAGAGAACAACATAGAGGCACTCAATCTACCAGTAGACCAAACTGGTCACTCTAAGTTTTTGACCACCAATATGTCCTCCAAACACGTTCTACATCAAAACTCACTCTGCCTTCAACTCAGAAGCTAAAAAACTGGAGAGGCCCTCCCTACCCTGCAGCCAGATAAACTCACAAATTATGACTTAAATCCATCAGAGAGTCGATATCACAAATGAAAAAAAAAATGGATCCAGCCCTGGAAATACATGACTGGAACCTAGTTTTCCAGAGATGGCAAGAGTGTTCAACAGGGTCACCCAAGCCTTTCTGTCAGGAGTATCCATGAGCTACAGGCAAGTACGAAGTGAGCTCACAAAATCTGGGGGAGCTCCTTGACCCAGGCAGTCTCCCACATCTCACCCAGGCTCTCCCCTACACACCTCACTGGGTGCTCCCAGGGGATAGGAAAGGCTCCAGTATGAAGCAATCCAGAAGAGAGGGAGTCACTGCTTCAGGAACCCTCTGCACTCAGAGAGGGCAGAAACGCCTGCTGCCCTCAGGGCACTGGTGGATGTTCACTGGGATGGAGGAGGAAGCATAACCAGCCCTTTCTCCCCTGGGACAGGAGCAAAGAGCAGTTCTGTGCCCAGACCACAGCATATCCCTAACCACTGGGAAAAACAGGACAATTGGAAAATCCTACCTGTAGACTCAGGGACCAATCCACAGGAAGCTGAAACAAAACAAAACAAAAAAAAAGAAGCCATCACCTACCTACAACCGGCAGGCCACCAAACATCAGTGACAGCCAACAGGATTCTACAACAGGGGCAGACTCAACGCCAGAACACTAGAGCTGAAGATGGGCTGGAAATACTAATAATACATCTCTCTGAAAACTAGGTATGCACTCAGCACAAAGTAATGTCTGAGTAACCATAGCAACATCAGCACTGAACAAACCTCCCATCTGGGCTGACTCAAGGCCCTTCTAAGGGCCTCTTGGGAGAGGAGGTAGCCTGATCTGTGTCACAGGTACTGTCAACCTCATTCTATGTAGCCTGTGTGTGTCAAGTCCAGCCCTACATCTGCTTTTGCACACAATTATTTCTTAGGATACAAGCAGGCAGTGATCAAGCTCCCGTATTATCTGTATTTGTGCCTGCCATTCCATAGAGCTGAGGAGTAGTGAGCCAGTGACAAGGTCCATAACATCTAAAATATTTAATTTTAGGCATTTCATCACCTCCCCCAAAAAAAAGTTTGCCAAGATGTGCTTAAACATTTTAAGCAAAATTTCTCAAACATGTGCAAAAAGCAAGAAAAACTACCCACTAAGAAGTCACAAAGCCACCCATGGAAACCAGATGCTGTTGTGTCCTGCAGCTGGAGCAAGTGGCCAGTCTAGCCTGCTGCCTGGTTGCCATTGCCTACGTGTTCTGCTAGAATATGCCACACCATCTCTCCCCACTGCTTGTGGACACTTGCCCCTAACAGCAGAGATGAAGAGTTGAACAGAGACTACACAGCCCCCAGGATGAAATATTTGTTCTGTGTCTCTTTAAGTAAAATCCGAACACCCTGCTTTAGTAGAAAAGCAAATACCATGCATTAATGAATGGGAAATATCACCAAAGGGAATGAACTATTAGGAAATATCAGGTGGAAATGCTAGAAATCATCTGAACGGCGGTGAATGATGGATGGGTTCAGTTACTAAGTAACATTGAAAAGGTCAACATGGCAGAAGTGAGAAAGCTAAGGAGCCCTTTTGGACCTAAAAAGTCCCAGACGCAAGGCCTAGTGGAACTTCGTGAGTCTGGATAGAGTTTGGCGACTGTCTTTGGCCTATCGCTTCTGCATTGGAGTGACTCAGCAAAACTGCCTCTGCCCAGCTACTACTAACGTGGTGAAATATTATTGGCCCTTACACCTCACCCCTTCCTGCGGTCCCCACCCTTTTTCTCAACGTTATATAAGCCCATGCCTGATGCAATAAAATGAGCTCCTGCTTCAACAGGTTCCCAATTCAGTGTGATTGTGATTCTCTCCAGTGACTGGGAGGGAGATCTGAGTCATCAACACTCCCCGGAGGAGACAGGCTGGACAGGCCCCTTCCACAGCCCTACCTGCCGGAGGGCAGCAGAGTCCTCACAGGGCCCTGCCCTCCAGCTTAGCACTATAACACTTCAACAAGATGTGGCCATCCAAATACAGAAGCCCAACAACCTCATATTAATGCCCTCACCTCAAACTTCACTTCTTAGAGTGATCCACGGCTCACTAGGAGTTCACAGACCACATGGGGTGGGCTAGGTCAAACACTGTTCACAATAGTAGGAACAGTTTCTTGATCTGATAATGGAACACAAGGGAAGACTCATTAGCATTAGGGGCTCCCCAAAGCGCCCTCATTGCTGTGCACCGGCAAGTTTGGAATAAAACTACTGTTTCCATTAAATTTTGACCTCCAGTCCATTCCTCTTAGTACACTGAGAATAAATGAAAAACCTATGCCAAGCAGTTTTTCTCTGCATCCACCACAGTCAACCCAAGGAAAAGCACACCAGCTAACCACATGGCTCATGGGACCGTATTCTAACAGAAAAGCATGAATAGCAAGCTATGCTTATCCACTTGAGTATTTGGCAGGCATTTTCTCTAACAAATTGAGGTTGTCAATGAAAACAACTGACAGTGTTTGTGCCCAGTAACAAAATTTTGAGTGTTCAAAACAGAAAATAATTTTTAGAATATTCATGTGTGTTTGACATCTCTCTCAAAGCTAAAGGATGTTGGATATTGACAGAAATACTAATGTATGTGAGTGACTTTTTAGTGTGGTTTAATTAATGTGTTATCATCTACATGACTCAATCAACCATTATTTTCCAAATGACCAATGAACTGTGGTACAAAACCAAACACGTAATAATCCAAACCATAATATTTATTAATTGATTTTAGTTATACAGAAAAAATGATAGAACAAGAGTTCATGGATGTGGTTTCTGGTTCCCACTGCAGCTAACCTTGGGTGTGGTGCCCGAGAATGTCCACAAGCACCTAAAAGGCCATGTAAGCCTTTACCCTTCTCCAAAGGACATGCCTGTGAAGCTGGAAGCTCTCAGGCTATTGTAGCTGACTGACGAGAACCTGCTTCCTTCCATGAACCAAAGACACTTGCCAAAAATGGAAGATAGTGCCTATGTTCTTATTGACTCTTTGTGGAAACAGAACTGTTTTTCACTAAAACTCTATTAATTAGAGTAAATTTGATTATAGTAAATTTGAAATGACTCAATAGATATTGAGTTGATATCAATAGATATTGATTGAACTTGTTAAAGTTCTCAGGTTATGAATTGTTGTTTGTACTTGTGTTATATTGTGTTGTGGCATGTTGTGTTGTGTTTGTATTGTGTTTGTGTTGTATTGTTTGTTGTTTGTGTTATGTACGGTATGTTGTGTTTGTGTTCTGTTGTTTGTGTTGTATTATGTGTTGAGGTGTGTTCTGTTTGTGCTATGGTATATTGTTTCTGTGTTGCTTTGTGTTGTATTGTGTGTTGTGGTGTGTTGGGTTTTTGCTGCTGAAGTTTGAATCCAGGATCTCTGGAAGACCAGGGATGTACTTTACCACTAAGTTACATAACCACACATTCTTAATATTTTTTTTATTTTAAAGTAAGATCTTAATTCCCTGATCCTTTTTCCTCTCAGCATTCTGAGTAGTTTAATTTCTTCATTTCAATTCCTAACATAGTAATTACTAAAAGATACAACCCACAAAAGTTGTGTGAACCCTCACCAGTGTTTATAAGGACACAGAGTCCTGATAGTCATATCTGAGGAGCGTGCTTCAAAGTGTTGGCTGGCATGGAGGCTGGCATGGAGACTATGACAATAACTCAGTAAATTACTTGCAACATAAGGACCCAAGTTCCACACCCAGAGCCACAGAAAAAGCCAGGTGTATACTTGTAATTGCGATGGTGGAAAGAAAAAGGTGGATTCCTAGGGCTCTCTCTATAATGATCCAGTCTAAAGTTGTTGAATCCTCAGCCAATGAAAAGCACTATCTCAAACCCTCTCCCTCTTCTTCAGCCTCACACAGGCTGGCTGGCCTCCCTACAGTGTGTCTCAACCTGTGGCATGTCCTTTGGTTCTAAGAAACTCAATAGCAGTGAAATCATGTGACCAAGTCCACAGCTGACCACATCTGGAATATATCTAAGATCCAGAGAAAGCCAGGAGCAGCCCACCCTAAAAGCATTGTTTCCACCAGCCCTCAGCCAAGAGGTAATACCTTTAAGAATAGAGGAGAGTGAGCCCTTGGCCAGGGCTGGGGATGGAACCATTGGTCCAACCATGAAATGCACAGATCTGTAGGGATGGAAGATGTACCAAACACCCTCAGGCCTCACTGGTGCTGGGAATCTGGTTCCACTGAGGAATGGAAGAGAGAATGAGACATGAAGTCTTCTGCTGGGAACAGGCACAAGGCATGGAGCTTCAAGGTGACAACTGAGGTTGGGAAAAATCAAACCACAGTCAGGGATCTTCCACCAGCTACTCCTCTCTTCAACCAGATCAGAGAATGCTTCCCTCATTGTGGTTTCCATAGAGCTCACCATGGGACAAGACAGGCTATTCTAAGATGTCAACCCCTATTCCTGGCTTTACTTCCCAGCACCACCCATGACTGAGATGGAACTAAGGTGACACTGTCAGACAACAGTGACACCTTTCTTTTCCTCTAACTCATCCAAGGGTCTCTCCACAGTACAGAGGAACCCACATTTCATTTTTTTTTCTACAAGTTTCATCACGTAACATTTAAGTCTTCACCAAACCACTTAGCATTATTGATGACTTGTACTTAGCTTTCCAGACCCAGTATCAATCAATATTGACCCTGACACTTAGGAAAGCAATAAAACAGCTAGCTGTGGTGACAGAGCAGCATCAAGATAATGAAGAGGGAAAAACAGAAAGGACAGTGGGGAGGTAATGAATTTAAAAAAATCAATTAAACAGTCAATGCCATGTTCATTTTATCACGAAAACCCTGAGTCAGAAACAATGCTGGATCAGAAAAGGACACTGGCCTTATTGGCATCTCTGGTGGTGTCAATTAAATGACCGACTGAGTGCACAAAAGTAGATCGCTGTTAGGGATTTGTACACACATTTTATTTACTTTGGAAAGATGACCAAGTGATATTTGTAATAGTAGCTACAGGAGAAGGAACTTGTCAAATGTTCTCAGTTAACCATTAATTAAAGAACATTAAATCAGTTAAATATTATTTGTGTCACTGGATATAAACCATGAATCCTGTATCCAAGTCACCCACAGTATCAGACTGCGTATTTTAATTCATGTGTGTGTGTGTATTCACATGTTCACGCACATGCACAGGTGCACGAGTGCACATCTGCATGCCGGCACACATGAAACGAGGTGCCTGAAGAGGACAGAAGAGGCACTCAGATGCCCTGGCTCTGGAGTCACAGGCTGTTGTGACCATGTAACACAGATGCTGGAAGCTGAACTCAGGTCTCTGCAAGAGCAGCAAGCACTCTTAACTGCTGAGCCATCCCTCCAGCCCTATCAACACCGTTTCTATTTTTAATTGCCTTATCATTGTAACAAAGAATTTGATCAAATTGTAGTTCTGAAGATCCCTGGGTTCCTACACTGTGAAAAATGTGATTTCTTTGAAAGTCTAAAGCCCCTTCTGACTGAGTCCTAAATCCTAGATTCCCCAATTATTAGGGTTGTTGGATTGATTGATTGATTGATTGATTGATTGATTGATTGATTGATTGATTGATTGATTTGGAAATGTACAAGAGAAACATGAGCAAAGGGTTGTCCAGGCACAAAGGACTGGCCTTGCTGGACAAACAAGTGTAACTGTTCAACAAAGCTGTTGAAACTTAAACACAAAACAGTGAGGCAATCTCCAGAGTCTGATTGCACCAAGATTGAAGTGGAGGGAACCAAGCTTCCCGGTGCTAAGACCACACACTTTCTCAGAGAGTCAGCGCTTGAAACAAAGACACAGGACAGAGAAATGCTTAACACTCAGCCCAGAGAAGCAAACTTAAATGAATGTGAGGATTGGCAATATATGGCAAGGCATGTCTTCAAGAGAAATGTGGGAGCCTTCAAAAAAGTCAGGAAATCGGCTTGAATAAAGGACAGGTGGCATTCTGTGAGAAACTGCACACAGCTGCACAGCAGAACCAGCCACCCCTCAGTGACACACCTGTCCCACTACTCAGCTAGCACTGTTTCTCCAGCACTCATAGCAGAACTTTCTTGGACTGGAAGATTAGGTTATGAACTTGCTGAAACAACTCCTTATAGCAGAGAAGTCACAATCCATACTGTACAGGATGATTTCTTCAAAACATGAAAAGTAACCTGCCACTCAACACACCTTGGCCGGACCAGACCAGAGATCTCAGACATATATTACATTCTAAACATTTCAATTCTGACAGCAAGATTTCAAACTCAAGTGTTAATTGCATGCATGTGTTTTAAAAGTATCCTAAGAGTCGGATTTGGTAACAGTCATGTGCCCACATATTGCTTGGTGATTTTCCACACTTTTGTTTCTGGATATACCAAAATACAGATGCTTAAAGGAGACCAAACCTGCTATTATTCCAGAAAACTGAAAATACCCTGCACTTGATGTTCAACCAGCTTTGGCATTAACTCAAGCACGCTTTTGAAGAGGCTTCCTGTTGTCATCAAACTTATAAAATGTACCTTTAAAGGGAATTAATATGGATGCTAATAGGCTCATGCTAGGTACTCTGTTTCAGCTAGCAGTTCTTATTTTCCATCATAATTATTTATAGTTGATCTTAAAGCCTCTTAAAAACATGCACAATTAACTTTTCATCTCCTTCATTCTTTGCACCTGAACTTGTCACTATGGAAACTGTGGATGCTCAGATATCAGAAAGGACCTCATCATCACATCATATGATAGAAACAGAAAACCTTTATGCCCAGGGCCCTTTGGGGTTTGGTGGTATGTTCTAGAAAATTCTTATTAGACAAGTACAGGACAGGATGGAAGTAGAATGATCTAGTGTTTAGACTACTGATTGACAATTCATTTGTTTTTAGCTCCATTCCCTTTTTCTCTTTATAGGTTTCTCTCTCAAATTTAACTGTAACCGTGTGTGTGTGTGTGTGTGTGTGTGTGTGTGTGTGTGTGTGTACATGTATATATACATATATATGTAGAATATATATAATATAGATAGATAGATAGATAGATATCCCATTAAAAAAAATCAAACTGAGTTCCTGTTGAATACAAAACTGTAACCGACTCCTCTTAATCCTCGTCTAAAATAGGTCAGAATGGATGACTCCGTGGGACACCTGTAAGGAGACCTGGGAGAGCTCCCCAGCCACAATTCACTGTGAGTCTGTCTCTGCCTCACAAGCAAGATTAAACCCATCTTAAACAAGTTCATAATATTCCAAAGTATATCGGGAGTGAAAATTAAAACACTGGAAATGTCTTCGGTGTTAACTCACAGAATTAGGAAGTGGGGTCTTCTTTGGTTTGTTTCTCATTGGGGATGGGCAGCAATGCTGGTGTTTGGTTGGTTGGTTGACCTTTGTGGGTTTTTTGTTTTGTTTTGTTTTTCCTGTTGAGGCAGCATCATCACTGTGCAGCCAATCCTGGCATGGAAGTAAAGATCTTCGTGCCTCAGCCTCCCAAGTGCTAGGATTACAGGTGTGTGCCTCCAAGTCCAGCCCACATTTTTGTAATCTTTTTTTAGAACACCACATCAAAACAAGAAAGAGAAGGAAGGGATGAAGGAAAGAAGGAAGGAAGGAAGGAAAACAAATGGAAACAACCTTGAAACACAAGCAAACACGGCTTCTAGGTGAAGGAAAACAGGCTATGAGTGCTGGACACGACTCCTTGTTTTCCTAGTCTGTTTTTTAATTCTGATGGGCCTGTGGCGATTACTCACTGCCACAATGTGGAAGTGTGGACTGGTTTTACCACTTGGTAGTTACCCCTCTTTCACAGATAAAGTGAGGCTCAGAATTGTAGAACTACCCACATCCAATGCTGCTTTGAATCTGGAATCTTTGGGTGTTTCATTGTTTTGTTTTTTGAGACAGGGTCTCACTGTATACCTCTGGTTACCCTGGGCCTCACTATGTAGACCAAACTATCCTTGAACTCTCAGATATCTGCCTCTGCCTCTTGGGTGCTGAATCTATCTGTTACATGGTGTTTGGCTCTTTTATTTTCTGATTAAAAGAGCAAATAACACATGTGCCAGACAAGTGATGAATTTTCCAAAGCCTAGCTTGACATTGAAACCAGATGTCATTTACGATGATGGGGAATCATTGTGTACACAGTTGTCCTTCCAGCCCTGTTGGAAAGGCTGACCACTATTCCCCAGGCAGGGTGACAGATAACAGAGCTGATGCCCTGATTTTAACTCAGGAATTAATGACCACCAGCCTGATTTCAAGCAGAGGTACACAAACATTTGTTGTGCAGCCTAACCAATGGCTGACAGGCAATCACACAAGCCCCATCTGAAACAGAGAGGTCACACTTTACAGGACTTTCAAGTCTGTGTCTCACTGACTCTCAAGCCTGCAGACATGGGAAATGGTGATTAAAGTGCAAAGTGAGCAGAGGGAAAATCACTCCCTAATGACATGGCACACCAGTGCCACCTAGCATGGCTGTCTACATGAATCTACAGAGGCGGCAGCTCACAGAACAACCCACCCCAGCACTGGAGTGGAGATCCTTGTAGAAATAGGTTAATACAATGAAAACAGCAGCACTGAGAAGGCTTTATCAATACTCTAGAGTTGGACTTGTGATTAAACAATCAAACTTGAACAGCAGAGGGAGCAGAGCTTGGGGTTTTAAGCTGTGTTCCCATAGCCACCATCCTGATAACTGTAGACCCCACATATGGCTCTAGGATGAGCCACTATTTGACCGACCCATGATAGCTTGATTACATAACTGACCTTCACATTTCCATGCATGTCCCATGTCCTCTATGAAGTGGTGAACAGCCCAAGTGAACCAAAGAGTAAGCATAATGAATTACACATACTCAACTAAAAATCATTACCAACACTCACTTAATGATCATAATTTAATCCTACTTAACATGGAGCCATTGCTGAGCTGAAGGTGAGTGGGGATGCTATCTGTCTGGGGTCGCCATGCACACCCAGGAAAGGTGACACACCCCTCATAGTGCATGGCTGCAATGAAAAGACAGACCTATTACCACTGCCTAGGACACCTGAGTGTGCCTCCCCAGGAAGAGAGAGGCTCTGTCTACACAGCAGAGCATCAGCCTGTCTGAGGCTGCTTCTTTACCTCTGATTTTGTTTTCTAACCCAAAAAACTGGGCCAGGATTTCTGACAGGTAAGGAACTGGCATTCCTAAGAAGCACCTGATAGATTGGAGAGTCCGCGAAGCATCCTACCTTACTCATGAGGAACACAAAACTACAGTTTATTGATACAAACCTTTCTGTCGATATCCTCGTAAAGCCTTTCCACTTCCTTTTCCTAGTGTTAAAATAAAAACATATGGTCATCAAGTATCTGCAAGCAAAGTGCCATAAATAAATCCTTAACCTCCCCGTCTCCTCTCATTGCCGCAGTTAGCTCAAATTCTTCCTCATCAACAATACCACAGGTTTTCATGCCAAGTCCCATGCCCACTCCAGGCTGCTATCCCCTTGTCTTGCTCCTCCTGATTTCTCCTCCCTTTTCCCTCAGCACTGTAGTTTTCTAAACTTTTTTTTAATGTACAGTAGTTTATTGGATTTGAAAGTGCAATGTCCCCACAGACTTGTTCTCCAGCTAGTGGGGCTTTCTAGGGTAGAGTCTTGGGCCGAGAAGAATTGGATCCCCTGGGAGGTTACACACTCCCCAGGTCCCAGCCTCCTCTCTGCTTCCTGATACAGCGTGTGCTCTCACCACCACAAACCACACTATGCCTTCACTGCCATGGTGGGCTGGGAGCCTCCGAGACCAGGAGACACTGAAGTCTTTCTTCCTTGTGCTGTCCTACCTGTGTGCGCTCACGGCCACACAAAGGTGACAGCCTCCTATGCTGTTGCACTTTGGTTTGGTTTTGCTTGATTAACCTCTGAGAACTCCTATCCTTCCAATCAACCTACAGTTTTCATCGTCAACTGTTCTTCCGTTCTATGGCAGAATCAGAAATTGTTAGCCAACTCCAATGGGTGACTGCCACATTTGTCTCTATCATTTGCTATTTATTAGTACTTGAGGGCAATCCTTAGTTATCTTCTTGATAGCTAGGAATGATGTGTGCAGACTTAATTCTAATAAAAAGCAAAATCTTCCTTCTAAAAGGCTGCACCAAGGGGCTGGAGATGGCTCAGGGAGATATGAATGCTTGCCATTCTTAAAGAGGACCAGAATTTGGTTCCAAGCACCCGTGTCAGGAGGCTCACAACTCTCTATAACTCCAGCTCCAGTGGATCTGATGCCCTCTTCTGGCCTTCACAGGCATTGCACCTATGTGCACATACCCACATACCCACATACACATACCCACACATACCCACAATATTGAACTTTTTAAATATAATATTTTCAGTCTTATGTGATCTGTGCATATACCATTCAGCCTGCCAGTCAGACTATCTTCTATATTCAACAGAGGAAATTAATGGTCCCAAAATCTTTACATTTGGTTTTACAGAAATTAGCTGGTAGTTTAAAATTTTAAAACGTTGTTTCTCCATAAACCATTTACAATCAATGCAACTACAGAGAGCAAGTCATAGGGGCTGGAGAAAGGGGTCAGTGAGATGATGGAGCTGGTAAAGATGTCTTCTTTCCACCAACCCGATGAGTTCCATTGCCAGGATCTACATGGTGGAAGGAGAGAAACAACTCACCCAAGTTCCCCCTCAGTTCTCCACATGTGTGTGCCATGCTACCCACATTATAAACAAACAAATATAATGTGGGTTTTCTTTAAGAGCTGGAGAATGTTCCAGTCCGCCCTAAGTCCAACAGTACTCACCCATTGTAATTAAAGTCATGTTCAATGAAGATAATTTGCAATAGGTAAAAGGACAAAGTACGCACTTCCTTCTTCACATTTGTTACTGTTGCTAATGTCCCACCTTGATGATGGAGACCGTATTGAGCATGGATGTTGTCAGGGTAGCTGTGACTGTACATCTAGCCTATTCCAGGGTCCTCAGGAGAAAGAACTCTCACACGGAAACATGGTTCTACTTTTATTTTTTATTTTTATTTTACACATATAATGACAAAATGAACACACTTGTCCACAACTCCTGGGTGGAGGCCTAAGGAAAGTCTCATCCTAACAAAAGCACCTGAAAAGCTCCTGAAAGGTGTCAAGGGCTCAGTGCTGAACCTTGGAGCTGGAAGAGAGAGGAGAAGGAGTCTATTTCCAGGGCAGACTGTATGGGAGGTGAAACTGTCTTAGAAATAGACTGTGTCTAGCATAGTGAATGTAAGTAATGGCGCTGGATTTGATGCTTAAAAACTATCCAAACAGCAGAGTTTAGATATTTAACACCAAAACAATGATCACAGAAATTGTGACCCAATACCAGAAATATACTTTAAGGTATTGTTCCTACTAACAATGTCTCTTGCAGCTCCACAAGGTAACTAGAATTTTATTCTTGGATTGTATTATTTATTTAAATTTTAATGGCTTGGTTATAGGTAGCTCAAAGCAAATCCACAGACACTTTTTAACTGAATGTAAGACAGTCTGGAACAATGATTCTTTGCAATGAACACTTGCAAGTAAAGATATGTGGACAAAGGGCTTACTATACAACTCACTAATGTCACACTACAGCTTCCATAACAAGACTTTGCCCCTCTTTTTTTTCTTTTTTTCCTTTTTTCTCTTAAATTTTACAGGGGGCAGGCGCTGCAAGGGCAGAGGTAGATATTCAGGGACAGGAAATGAATTAGATTGAGTTGTATGTTGTGAAAGACACAAAGATTAAATAAAAAGAGTTTAAAAGAAAAAGATAGTCTGGAGGACATGTAAAATGATGATACCATTTCAACTGCTTAAGGACTTCATGGCCCATCTTAACAGTGGTCAGCCCAGCAATAAATAGCGTGTCTATGAAACTTAATGTAGTCAGTTTCAAATGCCCTGAAAATAAACTTATCAACAAATGTACAAGTGATTCATAGAGAGTAGACAGGGATACAGTGGCCTGCTGGCCAGGAAAGGCCAGTGGAGTGTGACTTCTCAGTATCATCACTGGCTATTATAACGCACACAAATGCTAGATCACTCAGAACCTTCCAGGACATGGCTAGATTTGGGAGTCAAACACTTTCAAGTTTATGGGGTATTTCATACCAATATCCAAAGAGCACAGAGGTAACACTTGTGAAGGGCACAGAGAGGGCACAGACTTGGGAGAACTGAATGCCCCCAAGACATAGCACCAGGTAGTTGATTCTGCCCTGTCCATGAGTAACGGACAGTGAAGCCTGGCAGCAGATATCTGAGAAGAATAAAAACTACTACCCATTTGGCTCACTGCAGGGAATAAATACTCAGACTTTGGTGTGGTTCAAATCTGTGTTGAAATCCAGATTCGGGGGGGTGGGGGGAGGAGAGTAAAGCAATATCTTGATTAAGGGAGTCATTATGGGGCTATCAAGAAACCTGGCACTAGGGAAATTACCATGAATCCACAAGGATGACCCTAGCTAAGACCCTAAGCATTAGTGGAGAGGGTGCTTGAACTGGCTTTCCCCTGTAATCAGATTGATGACTACCTTAATTATCAACATAGAACCTTCATCCAGTAACTGATGGAAGCATATGCAGAGATCCACAGATAAGCACTGTGCTAAGCTCCCAGAGGCCAGCTGAAGAGAGGAAGGGGCAATAACATAAACAAAGGGGCCAAGACCAGTTTGGGGAAACCCACAGAGACAGCTGAGCTTGTGAGCTAGTGACCTGAGCTAGTGAGAACTCACTGACTCTAGACTGACAGATGAGGAACCTGTGTGGGACCAAACTGGAACCTCTGAATGTGGGTGATAGTTGTATGGCTTGGGCAGGCTGTGGGGCCACTGGCAGTAGGACCAGGATTTATTTCTAGTGCATGAACTGGCTTTTTGGAGGCCATTCTCTTTGGAGGGATGCCTTGCTCAGCCTAGATACAATGGGGAGGGCCTTGGTCCTGCCTCAAAGAGATGTGTCAGATTTCATTGACTCCCATGGGAAGCCTTACCTTCTCTGAGGAGTGGATGGGAGGTGGAATGAGGGGGAAGAAAGTGGTAGCTGAAGGAGGGGAGGGAGTGGAAACTGAAATTTGTATGTAAAATGAGTAAAGATTGCTTTTAAAATGAAAAATGAATAAAAAAAGAAAGAAATTCAGAGTCCTGTGTATTGATTTCAGACTAAAGCATTGACAAGTTGTATTTTCCATCAAGTTTCCCCTTTTTCTCATTACATATGCCTTACAGAGTTGATGTCAGAGCCAGTGTGTGGCTCACACAGGGTGCTCAGAAGCACTCGGAGCATCCCAGCATATTCCCTGCTGCCCCACACCGCCATTCAAGTACTTGGCAACAGTAGGCATGACTGCTCTCTGCCACCTCCCACCTCAATGCTTAGGTCTTTGCCCATCTCCCTGAAGATGAGCACTTATATCTGTAGATGTTCCAACAGTGTTACTCACATTGAAAAGGACATCTTGAATCACTCTGTACAGTTAAATCTACCATAGGCTGGCACCAGGTGACCAATCTGTGAGACCCCTCTTAGGGGCCTGCACAGATGTCCAGGGTGAGTCAGTGTAACAGGGTGAACTTTGTGCAAAGAACCTGTGCAGAGAGCTTTCAAAGTGTGTCTGTATGTGCAGCCCTGCCATGAACCCAACAGCACTGTCTCCTGTCTCCACACAATCCCTATGGGACTAGCAGTGCTTTTGTCCTTGGTAAGCCCTTGGATGCTCTGTGGCGATTCCTCAATTATTATTCCCATTCCCAGAACAGCCTTACTCTGCGACACCTAAGAAATTAAATTTGACTTTTGTGCTTCATTTCTGTTCTGCTGGACACACACAGTAACCTCTCTCACTAAAAACCACCCCCAAACCCAAGCCCTTCAGGGATGTGTACAGAGGAAGGATGCACTCCATGAAGGTGCTCTTCTCTCCAACTCTCAAGACACCCAAGCTCCTCTGGTGTGTTTATAAAACCTAACAAATGTCCTGTGGATCTTTCTCCTTCCTTCAAAGGCTGATTGCCAAGCTGGGTAAAGAGCAAGGGGCCCTAGGGCGTCTCCAACACCCACTCATCATCCCTGAAGCCTGTGTTTGTTTGCAGCTGTGGAGGGCACCATGTCAGAACAGCCTGACTAGGGCAAGATCTCACTCTCCCTCAGCCTGGCCAAAAGTCTGAAACAAACTACTTTGAAAAACACCTGGAGACAGAATAATATTGTGAACAAACCAAGACATCCATTTCTTATCAGCATGATCATGATCTTATATGTAAAGTATCTTTTTGTTTTCCCAGAGTACACATCTTAAGTAGACTAATCACCACCTGGTCTCAAGAGACCCTGGAACACACTGCCTCCCCAGACGATGTTTCCAAAAAACCTGGACAGGAAAAACAAGCATAAAGCTACAGCTGCCATCTGCAGGAAGCTAGCTACACAAAGCCTGACCTCCCAGCGAGGGGCTTCAGACACAGCACCCTTTGGTGGGTATGGAATGGCTGTCTCGTTATAGGGAGCTACCCACACGTAAGCTGCTGTATTTCACCACCCGACTTGCCTGTACGCTAAAACCTGTTGGAGGAAAGCTTACACAGTTGTGATGGAAAGTGTTGTGAAGTATAATTAAGATGGGTACAAGAGTGATTAGATTACCCATGTGACTTCCCAAAATACACTGTGCTTCCACTCAGATACTCATGTGTGATCTAGGACCAACCTGTTGTTCCAGATCCCTTACCACCAACCATGAGTTCTGCCTAGCCTATCACAAGAAAGTGGCTTGGACCCCTACTATCATAAGAAAAATAAAATTCACTCACCACACCTCTTTCAAGGTCAGGGTTGTTGCCCATCTCGTCAATTTCTTTAACAATTTCGGCTGGTATCTGGGGAGAAAATATGTTATTGAGTTGAGCCATGGTCAGTGCCAAACTCTTCTGAAAAAGTGAAGAGTATGTGAACCAGGGTGCGATTCTAGACTAGATCTACAGACAGACCTGGAGGGGGCAAATGAAGTTTTCCAGATCCAGAATTGTTGACCCCAATTTCACCTCCAGCTCCATCAAGAAAACAAAAATCTTTAGCGAGAGTTTCTAAATTCTTTTCGCGTAAACAAAAATGCTAGGAGCAAGGTATGGTGGTAACACATCTATAATTTCAAAACTTTACAGGTCAAGGCAGGAAAACCATGAGTTTGCAGATAGCCTGGGCTAGCCTAACAAGTTCCTATCTCAAAAATAAGTAAGGGTCCAGGAAAATGGCTCAGTAAGAGTGCTTGCTGCATAAGTCAGGAGACCTGAGTATAGAACCACAAAACCCACATAAGACCCAGGCGCCGATGTGCATATCTGTAATCCAAGTACTCCTACTGTGAGATAGGGAAGAGGTAGGAGACTCCCTCAGAAGTTCCTGGGTCAACTGGCTTGGGGTACAAAAAAATGGTATTTAAATGGCCTGACATACTGTTGCCCCCCCCCAGGTGACAGTTGTCCAATGGCCCCTTCAATGGGAGTACTTGAGGAAGGAAAAACAGATATGAAAATGTCTGGCATGGGGACTCTTGAGGACTGATAAGTAGGTAACTTCTAGTGCACAGAATCTTCTCAAGGCCAGGGAGAACTTAAAGGTGAGGCTGTTGAAGATGGGGATAGAGAAGTAGAGGCAGACACAGCTGAGTCAAGACGGGCTCAGCCCTTGCAACCCACCTGGTCAACTGGAACCTCCACCTTCACCTCTGGGTCCTCCCTGACTTCCAGTGCTTCTTGGGCCTCCTTGGGGGGACTCTGTGCCTTATACACATCACCTTCTAAGGGAAAATAACAATCTTTTCAAGCCAGCAGAAAAACTGATCCCCAACTTACATTTTCTGAAACAAATCCAAGTTTTAACTAAGAAGTTTCTGACCTTTCTGTACCATCAGACAGAAGCCCAGATGAGATCCCTGAATATCTGCATATCCGTCTCTCCACACTTCCCTTTCTCCCCTCTCCCCTTCTGTTCTTCTGTGCTTCCATTGAGGTCTCAGTTCAGCAGGCCCCATTTATGCAATATCTGTCTAGTTTCCATCTCCATGGAGGTCCTGGACCCTTGACATTTTGAGCATTTCTATGTTCAGAGGCTTCCCAACCCACCTGGATGCTGTAGAGTGTGGGAGGGACATCTCCCACCTGCTTCCTGTCTATGCCATAACCAGACACCTCACCAAGTCCTTCCCCAAGTCTTTCAGACTGGAAAGCAAGACACACCTCAGAAAAAAAACATCATTTCACATAAGCACCCAAAATGGCTTGGCAAGGGGACAGTAAAACAGTAAGAATGAGAGTAGGTGTGGCAAGAGCTATTTTAATTATTTCATTTTATGGTCCGGTCTGGGCCTGTCTTCTAAAGATACACAGAAACAAGCTAGATAGCTTCTATGTTCAAGGTTCCCTCAGATGTCAGGCTCACTTGATATTGTTCTTACAGCAAGAATATCTATAGTCCTCATGTGCATGTGACCGTGGAATTTACTTTACATGTAATATGTTTGAGTCTTCCTACTGCCCTCAGATTTGGCATGTTACTGCTCTTGTCTGCAGTCTGCTACTGCCCCACAGCTAAACACTTGATAATCAAGTGGTTCCAAGAAAAGACCTTGTGTGAAACACACACTATACACACACATATGTACCACATACACCATACATATACACGCTATAATACACATACACCTTACATGTCATATATACACTGTACATATACCACACATCTCCTACATATACATACCATATACATACACCACACACATCAAAAATATACGCACTATACATACATATATACCATGTTAAACATACACACTATACATGCATATACCACACCATATATATACATACTATACACACATATACCACACACACCATACATATACACACAATACACACACATCAAGAATATACACACATATACCACACATGCCATACATACACACACACACTACACACACCATACATACCACATATGCACACATACAGAGACAGGGCACTTTTCATAGCCTGTAGGATATGAATGCCCATTACCTGCACCACTTTGAACTAAAGGTCCCGGAGCTGGCTTCCTTTTCTCTTTGGCATAATAAACAGAATCCTGGCTTTTAGGTGGTATGCTGTCATTTTTGAGAGGTTCTTTTGCTTTGGGCTCCACCTAGTATATAGATAAAGACCAAAAGGCATCAGGAGTAGAGGCCACCTTGAGTCCTTGGTCCTTGGGGTGGACAAGGGCAGGAAGCACAGGAACCCAAGAAGCCTCAAAGGGTCTCACCATTCTTGTTCCCTTCTGAAGGAGGTAAAGGGAAAAGGGAATAGTCTATCCCTCCCTCCCAGATCCATTGCTGGAGAGGTCACTTGGCTTTCCAGCCAAGGGTGGGATTGGGTACTGTACCAGGGATGCCACAAAGGAACTCCTCATCCTTTGGGACAAGCTTTGAAACTTATCCAAAGCTGCTGCTCAGAAGGGCCCCCAACTCTCAAAGATTCAACCATGCCACAGCACAGGTAAGTAAAGGGAACCTAGGTTTATTTTTTTACAATCTTTAAACTATCTGTAGACAATAACAAGTACATAATCATCACAAAACCTAAATTCCAAAATACCCCCCACCCCTATCTTTATGATGCAAATAACCTTTCTTTTTTTCTTTTTTCCATCTTAATTCAAGTATTTGGAAGCAAATTCATCCAAGTGTATAAACTTGGTCCCTTCACACAAGAGACCAAGTAAAACATCCCTGCTGGTTTTAAAGAGTGTGATGTAAGCCAGAGTTGTGTCGCAGGTACAGAAAGCAAGACCTCAGCAAACTGGTGTCAGTAGGAGCATTTCAGCACACTGTAGTGGGCCCCGTTCAACACTGACAGCGTAGGAGTCCAAAGCTCTTATACTGTGCTTGTGACATGCTCACTGAATGCCCAAGAGCCTCTGCTTTGTACTATAAAAGACGAGTTTCAGATTTAAAAGATGATCCACACCCAATCTCACAGTGTGCTGATCTGAGCACCTGGGGTCTCAGTGCAGAGACTGCCACGCCATGCCCCCAAACATCTGTGTATGGCTCCCTTCCTGTTCTAGGCTCCGAGTTCAAAAGAAGACTATACCATCCTCCTCCCTCTCTCATGGGCAGGTCTGGCTCCTCCCAGTGACCTTAAAGTTCTTTGCCACTCAAGGCCCTCAGAAGACCAGGAGACACCAGTAACAGTGGTCACTCATCTTTCAAAACTTACTTTTTTCTTTGTCCGTGTGTATTTTTCATTGCCCACAAACCTCCTGAAAGGCAAAGACAGGTAGTTAGTGCATTCAAGCTCAGCCCGGATTCACCTTGTCTTCATAAACTACAGGAGCATCCTTGACCTAGAAAGAGGACCTGCTCTCTACACAAGACCCAGCTGATGACTGCAGCCATCTCCTAGCTTGTGAGAAAAGGCCAGGAGGTCTTTAAGAGTCAGGTGGCCCATGATTTGTTAGGGTGGTGCCTAGTCCAGGGTGGCATGGGAACAGGGTTTGGGATGCTGGAGGGAGCCTGACATTTTAATGGTTTTGATGTTTTCCGAAGCATGGATTATTCACAGAGCTCTCACTTGTTCATGTAGCTCTCACCAATACCCAGTGAAACAAGAACCTGCTGGCTTCTCTGCATGGAACCAATACCTGAGAGGCACATGTTCACTCCACACCTTGGAGCTGATCAGTAGCAGGACTGAGATTCAAACCTGGCTGTCCCTCACCCACCAGACACAGAACTCTGGTCTGACTGGCCACTTTGCATGATTCTACACCCCTTCCTAACTCATTGTTACTGGAACCTGTACAGCAGTTGCTGTATACACACTGGACATGTCTCTCAGACACCAATCTCAGAGGATCACTTCCCTGGGCTGTCTGTATCCACAGTGTAGACTCTGGACTCTCAGAGATTGTGCATCACTCCATGCATGATTTTAGAAATGTGAGGTTCAAATTATATATGTGTGTGTGTGTGTGTGTGTACATATGTAAGCATATATAGAGAGAATATGTAAGTATTGATAGGTAGATAGATGATAGATAGATAAATATATGGATATGTGATACATAATAGATATCACATCAAGTTTTACTACTGAAAAGTAATCATTATATGAACCCAGCATGTTTTGGAAAGGACTTGGGAAAGACAAACAAATATCAGCAACACTCAAAAAGGAAAGGCACAGAATTCAGGGAGATGGCTCAGTGGCTAAAGGCACTTGACACTGAGCCCAACAAGCTGAGTTGGATTCCCCAGGGTCCACAATGTGAACGGAGAGAACCAACTCCCACAGTTATCCTATAGATAGATAGATAGATAGATAGATAGATAGATAGATAGATAGATAGGAAGGAAGGAAGGAAGGAAGGAAGGAAGGAAGGAAGGAAGGTAGGTAGATAAGGAAAGGTACAAGTTGTACTCACTGCTGAACCTCACTGGGTACCCGTGGGGACTTCCAGTAAGGAATGAATTTGAAAGTCTCCAGTCCTGCAGCAACATAAAAATAATTTTCTTGCAGATCCTTTGAGTTGTCCAAAAGATGCCCATCCATTGTAAACAACCTGTGAACACAGGAGAGAAGATAGGATAAGATTAGCAGCACAGGACAGGTGTTACTTTCTCACCTGTGATAATGACCAGCATGTCAAATACCCAAAAAACTACACTCCCCAGTGAGCATGCAGAGTAAGGCAGGAAGCCTATGGAAGCCACGTTTCCTGAACTGCATACTTTCCATTTAGAGCTTTTTAATTAAAGCGTATTTTTCATTATGCACAAGTCCTCAGAGGATCCTGAAAACATGATCAGCTCTTGGTTGGTATTCAATTAATTTTAACTGGTAGCAGCTAAAATTAATACAAATTGGCTTACATTGTTGTAACAATACTTCGGGAAGAAATCAGCATTTGTTAGCAAATAACAGGCCTTTTTATAATGACCCAATGACTTCATTCAATACTCTTTGGCAAGTACTCACTGTCTGGTTAATTTAAGAAAAAAATCAATTCATTCCATTGTCAGCTTGTTGCATATAAGACTATGAGGAGGAATTACACAAATGGACATGACTGCTTATCGGAGTCAAGGATCCTAGCAAGCTATGAAGATTAACACAAGGTGCTCACTCTGCTGTCTCCAAGTTAGGAGACATGGTCCCCTGTCCATAGCACTACTGGGAGGTGTTGGGACATTTAGGAGGTAGAGCACATGCAAAGAAGCTGAGCTAATGGAATCAGGCCCTTGAAGTGGTATTAGGACCCCAGCCCCTTCTCTGGTGCTTCATAAAGGTCACCAGCATCTTTAGCAGGGTAATTCCACCCTGCTAAATGTGGGACTTCACCACAGACCCAATCTTTTGCTTTACCAATAAGCAGCCAATTCAACTACTTTCCCAAAATAGAAGTGTAGTTCAACCCCCTAAGAATTCAGATTCTTGGTGAGGATCCAGGGTTCCCCTAGTCCTTTCCTGAAGCCCCCTTCAGCCCTTCCTACAGCCCATCTCCAGTTCTCTGGGACCCACAAACCTGCAGAACTTGTCTCTACCAGAGACATAGAAGACCTTCACCCTTCTTCCTGTCCTCCATTCCAGCCTCTTCAGACTTACCTTTAGTCTTGCTACAGCCTGCCCACAGGAGCCCTCTGCCCAGTCCCCCTCCATTCCCCTGGGACTTGGCCTCTCAGTCTTGACCCAGAGTCCCCCTAGTTCTTCCCCGGCTCCCTTCTCAGCTCCTCCACTTCTACATGACTCGCCCCACCCAACCTACAGAACAGCTCTCTACCATAACCCCAGGGACCCCACAGCAACACTAACCAAAGAATGAACACCCACCCAACAAAGATGAGACCAGATATCTATACCAATAAATCCCTCAAACATCATAACTCCAGATGCATAGATCCCAGCCCAAAACCACAAACATAAACAACCAAAACAATATGCTGCCAGCAGTGATGGGTGAGATCCTTCCCCCACACACTGTACCTATCCAGGCTTTACCTCCCCATCACAACTGTTCCTCTGTTATAACATAAAACATGCCACATACTGGGTGAAGTGCTGAGCATGTATGACAACTTTTAGAAATCACTAATATCACTTTGCAGGTGAAGAAAAAAGGTATCTTTTGTTCTTATGGTCACAAAGGTATAGGTAGCAGAAGACGGACTTGACCCAAAAGCCCCAGTTAGAGGCTGTGTGATTCTGGGCTGACCTTCAAATCTTTGAACCCTTCTGCCCTGTAGAAGTAAAACTCATTCACTCAACTGCTGAGTTTCACCTTAAAGTCTGACTCCCCATGTGCCCCCCCCACTCAAACTTCTACAGGCCACCATCTGCTGCAGTATCTCCTTCAGCTGCTGCCCAAGTAGGGGGTCTGGGAAGCAAGGCTCTTGTTGTTGTTGTTGTTGTTGTTGTGTGCACAATGAGGGGTGCATGTGTGCTATGTGCTCGTGTGAAGTCAGAGGGTAATGTTGTGCAATCAGCTCTCTCCCTCTATCCTCACAGGAGTCCCAGAGATCTAACTCAGATCACTAAGAATGCATGGAAAATATTTTACCCCTTAAGCCATCTCACCTGTGGCCCTTCCTTATGATGCTGTGCCCTCTGCACAGAGCTCGTGGTCAGTGTTCGGTATTTGGTGAATAGGTTAATGAAACCAGCTTAAAATAAAGATGGAACACCCAGTTCTCCCCTGCAACCCGATTCCCCACGTGAGAGTGCCTTACTTCCGCACGCCTCCTAGAGGGAAGACTTTTTCTCCAATCATGGCCAGCACATTATTCCAATCTGACAGGCTGAATTTGGGTATAATAATTTTTATAGGTGGTATAAATAATCTTCCATTTGTGAAAACACTGTAGGTATAAGAAGAAAAGGCACTGTTACTACCGTAAAACTGAGATGGAAACACTTAAAACTCAAAGAAAAAAAGCATAAGTGTATTTGCAGAAATGCAAAAATATTCAGATGCACTGATCAACCCTTAATAATACCTACAGTACAATCCTACATTACAAGTCCTGCAATACAGTCTTCAAGTCAGCTGACATAAAAAAAATGGTGTTAGGAAAGTACTGAGTTTTGTTGTTGTTTTGTTTTGGAGACAGGGTTTCTCTGTGGCTTTGGAGCCTGTCCTGGAAATCGCTTGGTAGACCAGGCTGGCTTCAAACTCACAGAAATCCGCATGCCTTTGCCTCCTGAGTGCTGGGACTAAAGGCATGTGCCACCAACGCCCAGCATTATATTTGTAGTGTAGTGTACTGTATTGTGACAGGGTCTCATACAGCCGAGCCTGGACTCAGTTTCTCTGTGCAGCTGAGAATGACCCTAAACCTCTGGTGCTCCTACCTCCACCTCCCAGGCGCTGAGATTGCAGGCGTACACTTGCTGGTTTATACACTGTTATGGATGGAGCCCAGAGTTTCATGCCTGTGAGACCACCCTAACAACTGAGGTCTATCCACAGCTCAGAAAGTACCTTTCCATATAGCTGAAAGTACCCAAATGAGTGAGACAAAATCCTACTTCTTAAAAATGCTATGTCCCCTATAGTGGTTAAATTAGAAGAAGATGGTGTACAATTGGAAAATGAAAAGGGGAATTATATCTGAAAAATGTAGTCATGTCCCTTGTCACAGATTGTAGAGAAACACCCAGTAGAAATGCTGCATAATCCTCTGGACAGCTGACAGAACCCCTGGCCTCACTCCCGTCTTCAGGCAGCAATGTGACCCCAATAGGCTTAGTTCATTATTGCTGTGTGGGGAAAGGTATACTGAGAAGTTCTTGAAAACTCAACCAAAGCTCCTATTTCATTTGCTGTGTCCCAGGAATCACTACCCCTTGGAGGTAATTTCAAAGTCTCATAATTTTCATTAAAATAAGGTACAAAAGACCATGTGTGGTGGTACACACTTGTAATCCCAGCACATGGGAAGCTGGGGCCGAGATATCCTATATTCTAGGCCAATCTGGATCACATAGAAAGAACCTGTCTCAATTAAAAAAAAAAAAGTGCCATGTACAAGGCTTGTCTTTTAGCCTATGCTTTCTTTAATAGTGTCCAAGCTCAACTGTAGAACTCTGACACTTGCAAGTTTCTATTTGTTATTTGCTGTTGTTTACTTGGATTTTTTCCCCTTAAATCTGAATAATTTAGACTATGGCAAATCTATCTTCTTCTCAGAGGGGATATAAACAATGTATCTTCTCAAAGGAACTATACACAATGTATCTTCTTCTCAGAGACTATAAACAAACAATGTATCTCCTTCTCAGAGACTATAAATAATGTATCTTCTTCTCAGACTATAAACACTGGTTGAATGTGTTATCATAATGGACAGAATCCACTGGTTGAATGTGTTATCATAATGGTCAGAATCCGCTTCCTCCACTAAAGCTTTGGGGCAAGACAGATTTGCAGAGAGCCAGCACCAGCCTTTAGTTTCTTCAGTATTTAAATCACTATCTTGAAAAAACATGGAGGAGATGATGAAGAGTTGGCACCATGTCTCTAATGACTGCAAATGATTTATGTCAAAAATTTTCTACCCAAGGGAACCCACAGAGACAACTGTTCTGGGCTCATAAGAGCTCACAGAATCTGAACCAACAGCCTTCATGGGTCTGACTTAAAGCCCTCTACATATGTGTGACAGTTGTGTAGCTTGATCTCCTAGCAGTGGGAGCAAGGCCTATCCCTTATGCTTTGTCAGGCTTTGGAGAACTTATTCCTCATACTGTATTACCTTACCGAGCCTTAATACAAGGGGAGGAACCGAGCCTTAATACCAGGGGAGGAACTTAGTCTTCCCTCAACGTGATATGCCATGCTTTGCTGACACCCATAGGAGGCCTGCCCCTTTCTGAACAAAAACAGAGGAGGAATGGATTAGAGATGGGCAGAGGGAAAGGGAAGGGAGGGGAGAGAATTGAAGGAGAAGTGAGAAAAAAAAACTCCAGTAGGGATAAAAAAATAAATTAAATAATTTAATTTAAAAAAATCTTTCTAAATATGGTTTGACAAAACTGAAATACTTTAACACAAGCATGTTATATCTTGCCTGAATTTTTAAGGTTTCGTGTGTGTGTGTGTGTGTGTGTGTGTGTGTGTGTGTGTGTGTGTGTACAAATGCACATGCCTGTGGAGGCCAGAGGAAAACCTCAACTGAACACTGTCCAGCTTGTTTTTTGAGACAGGGCCTGGAACTCTCCAAGGAGGTTAGGCTGGGTGGCCAGGGGGCCTCAGTACTCCACTTATCTCCTCATCTCTAATTCTGGAATGACAAATGTTGGCCATCATGCCCATTATTTTTCAGATGGGTTCTGGAGACCAAACTTGTGCTTACAAGGCAAGTACTGTACCAACTGAGCCATCTCTCCAGCCCCTTAACCTTTGAAATTGTAATAGGCAGCCATCTTCTCCTGAGTGTGGGAAATAGGCATGTCTACACACCACCCATGTAGTTGAACATGAACAATGTGGATAGCATAGCTAGAGAGACCAATGTGCTACTCACAGATCTCAGCCTTCCCTGCCATGAAACCCACTTCACAGACTTTATGTATGAAGATATCTCTCACACTAGAGTTATTTAGGAAAACAAAGGTACAAAGACCTAAATGTCTGGTCAGAGAGCTATAGTTAAATAAATCATGATGGAGTACACTGTTACACAGCTACCCAAAACTGTTCATGTGAGCATTTGCATTTACCAAGTGTCTGTGACCAAGTATAGTGAATGCTTTTGAAAAATAATTAAAATAAATTAAATTAAAAGCAGCTTAAACTTCATGAGGAAAGCACATGCATCTATGTGCCTCAAGGCTACCAGTAGTTATTCTTAGGGAGTGGCTACCTGGGGAGTTTGAACCTTCAATTTTAGATTCCACATTTTTCATGTGTAAATAAGATGCTTATAAATGTTTAAGGTAAAGGAAAGAAATACAAAAATTCTCCTGACCTTAAGTTAGAGAACTCCAAATTCAAAGAAGAGACTGATAGTTCAGCTCTGAAGTTGAGCAGGGAACTTCAGGGAATTCAGATGCCTTGTAGAGCCAAAGCTGTCCAAGGCCCCAACTGCCTCCACCCAGTGCTCTAGAGAGCCAGCCTTATCTAAATCCCCATAGTTTCCAGAAGTCCTCCATGGAAGGGAGACAGACAGACACATATTAAATCCTACCATGGTGAAATACATGCTAATAGAGCTCATGAACTTCAAGACATTGTAGCTGTTTCTCCAGGCATGGCATATTAATAAATGCTGATAAGAAACTATCTCCTGGGTAAACTACATATGAAAGGCAATGAAGATACCGAGGGTGCAGAACACAGTGCAGTTGTTGTCACTGCTAGGGAAGTCACTAGAGAACTTTGGATGAAAGGTGAGAGGGAGATTTGCTTTGTTGGCAACTTTTACAACTATTCACTGTGTGTGTGTGTGTGTGTGTGTGTGTGTGTGTGTAAAATGTAATCCATTTATAGAAAAGTAATTCTGAAGTAGATGAGGAGAGGCACACATTGCTTAGCAGCACACTACCTACTGTGCTACATTTGGATTTTCCAGAAATAGAAGAAAAGAAAATATTTCAAATTTTGGAAAATGGAAAATAGCATATGGATCTAGATGGAATAGTATATGGATTTTAGCCAGCAAGACATGATGGTTGTTGACATTTACTGCACGCTTCCCATGTAGATTCTAAAGATCGGCTCAAACTTTCCAGTAACTCAGGGAAGGAAATATCACAACTCTGGGACCCAGCTGAAGAAACACAGAGGCGAGTAGCTTTCCTAATCACAAAGGCTCAGTGGAAAGTCAAGTCCTTCTGACTCCAAATCCCAGGTGAGTTATTCCAACTAAGCATCTTTCCTCTGATGAATCTCCCTTCTCGGAAATAGGTTGATGGCCACAACTGCAAGAAAGATAGGGCCACATTTATTCCTGTTGCTGCCACTTTGATAAGGTAGCCAAATTCAATGTGTTAGGAAGAGCCATGAGTATAACCTCATACTTTGTGCTGGCTGCCTCTTCTTCCCTTGACCACTGATAAAGCAAACAATTTTAAACAAGAACCAATTCAAATTCAAGCTGAGTTGAACTGAAAAGTCCTTTTGTGGGTGGTATCTTGTTTGTACTCTAATGAATAAAGCTTACCTGATGCTCAGAGGGTGGAGCTAGCCTCTAGTTACCTGTAGAGGTCTGGAGGTCTGAACAAACAGACAGGAGTGATATGGCTGGGTAGAGAGAGGATATAAGGTGGAAGGAGACAGAAGTTCAGTCTCTTCAGTCTGGAGATTTCATAGATGTAAGAACTCTAATGGCTGGCTGCTCTGCTTCTCTGATCTTGCATCTTTCACCCCCTAATATCAGACTACTGATTTTTATTATTAAGATCAATTAGAACTCGTGCTATAGTCCTTCAATACCAAAGTCAAAGCCATAATCTCTAGAGCTGATTCTAGAACGTCATGAGTCTCTCTGTCATCACTCATTCCCCTACTGGACAGTGAGCTCACAAGTATACATTTCTATTTATCTCTTGATCTTGCCTGACCTGGCATGCTTAGCAAATGTGTGGGGTCGCAAAGTACAGGAGTCAGATTGATGCACAGATAGACAGCTCGACTTCCAGTTTTCTGTGGATCTCAGCTTTCCCACTTCCCAAACTGGAAACCTACTATATTTTGAAGAATTCACAACAGCAGATGCACCAGCCACAAACAGACTCCAGTGGCATGCCTTCTAGGAGCTCTGCTATGATCTCAGCAAACTGGTGTGATTAAAGGGAGAGAAGGTTCTAATAAGAAGGTGTCTCAGTGAATAAAGCATGCACTAGGGAAGTGTAAGGACCAAGTTTGGGTCCCTAGTACCTGTCTAAAAGCTGGAAGACATAGCAGTTCCTGTACCCCAACACTTGGAAAATAAAGGTGGGGATAAAATTCACCATGTTTGAAGTTCAGAGAGTGACCACGCCTCCATGGATAAAAAGGCTTGTAACTAAAGAAGACACTCAATGCCAATCTCTGGCCTCAACATACACATGAACACCCACACATATTTGAACATGCATACATGCACAAATACCAAACATACAAAAAAAAAGTGGGAAGGGCTAGGAAGATGGTTCAGTCAACAACTGCTTGTCTTGCAAGAATGAGAACTTCAGTTTAATCCTGAGAATACACACACTTTTAAAAAGAGATCCAGGTATAATAGTGTACAAGTGTAACCCCAGCACTGGGGAATAGGTAAGGCAGGTCCCTGGGGCTTACTGGCCAAGTTCCCTGGGAACTAGCCTACTTTGCAAGTTCCATGTCAGTGAGAGACTATCTCAAAAAACATGGAGTATAGCAACTGAATGACAACAGAATCTGTCCTTTGGCCTCCACATGTTGGTACACAATGTGCGCATGCACCTACATACATGAGAACAGAGAGAGAGAGAGAGAAAGGGTAGAGTACATAGTACAAAGAACTCAAGAGATGCTCATAAATGAACTGACCGATAGGTATGTTCAAAGCATCTTCCCCAATTCATGAGGACTCTAAATGGCTGCCAAGCATAGGACTAAACCCTGGGTCCCACTTTAATTCCCAAGCACTAAGGAGACGCCCTTCTCCCTTGGGAGAGACACCATCACTATAAGGTTTCCAAAGGAGCCATGCAAGGGCTTAACAGCCTAAGTAACAGTCTCACACTTGGAAGGAATTGGACAGGGAAAGGCCAGATGTTTAGTCTACTCAAATGACCACTGGATGGCCTCCAAGTCTATCACAAGGGTCTCTGTCTCTCATCTACACAGCATGAGTCCTCACTGAAGAAAGGAGAAAATGATGGTTCTTGGTCTTGTCAACTTTCATCTTGACCGGCAGTTATCCTCACCTCTTCTACCACAAACACAGCCTCAGGAAAACCTGTGGTGTGATACAGGCCGGGGGGGGGGGGGGCGCTGCTGTTCCCTGGCCTCTTCTTTCATGGGGACAGATGGCTGTCTCCTATGATCAACAGCAAAATCCATCTGCCCTCACTCTGACACCTGTATCTTGGAAGTGCTCTCTCCTATTGCCAATACACCTCTAAGCCCCAAAGTCACCAAGCTGCCTACTTGTGTATACCACCACCATTTCCAGTGGAGAGGACCTCACTGGTCAATGTAATGAACTCAGTTCATGCTTCCACTCATCACAAACACTGATGTTAAATTTCAGATCCAGGTCTCACAATTAAAAATTGAAAGACTGCTGAGGTGGGAAGGGCCTCCAAACGAAGCTTTCAACCTGAGGCTCCGCCAAGAGTCTTGGCAGCTAACAGTAGCCCAAGGAAGACAGCTGCCCTGAGAGCTACACAGCAGTCATGATGCTATCACAGTCAACTTCTACCCATTGTCTGGGGCATGATCTTAATTGTCACCTTTTGTACCCTGCCTTCTCTTACTAGCCAACAGACCAAATATCTGTCTGCCACACTCCAGTTCCAATGACCTCACCTCTTTGGCCTACAACACTCTCCCGTGGAAAGTAGGAAGTCTCTGGGAAACATTCCCAGGAGTTATAAGCTTTTCACTAGTTCACCGCTAAGAAACAATGGAAGTAAAATTCTCTGGACCCCACCACACACACACTATATTCTTTACTTCTCCACATGAGACCAAACTGAGAGCAGAGACCCCAGTGCAGAGCAGCATGGGTGAAGGATGTCCCTGAAGAGTGGGAGTCTTGGGTCCCACCTCTGACCCTCAGCCTCCAACTGAGTGACTTCACACTTCTATGGTCACAACCATCTACATAGTGCCCCCTGTGTCCCACCAAGGAGCTCCAGGCTTCCCCCCCCCAGAACAAAAGCCACACTCTACAGGTCATGCCAGCTTTACCATCCCACTACAAGAGGTCAGAGCCCTTCCTACCCTGAATGCCCCAACACAGAGCACCCAACACAGAACCTCTCTCTAACTTCCACTTGCTTTCACAGTCGAAAGTTTTCCGGGCCAATATGATTGGATTTTTCCATGGTGGAAGGATGCATTTAGATGGCTATTTGGGTCCATCTAGTGGAACTTCCCAGCATTCCTATCAGGATGTGAAATACATCTTCTACAAGAGTCACTGATATACTAGGCCATGGCCCCAAGCCATAGCAACAGAGATGTGTGTCTTCATTAACCAGGACTCACAAACCAGTTAACTCCCCTAAGAGTGTGGCATGCTCTACACAAAAGATGGTATCTGCAAAACTTAGAAACAATGTATCTTCTATTATTTCAGAGAACCCCTGGTACTTTTCAAACATTTTTAAACTTCACTTGGAGTATGGGTGTGTGTGTGTGTGTGTGTGTGTGTGTGTGTGTATGTATGCATTTATGCGTGCTTGTATGCATGTACTTGTAGAAGTCACAGAACCTGTATGAAGGTCAGAGAGCAACTTGCAAGAATCAATTCCCTCTTTCCACCATGTGAGTCTAGAGGATTGAACTGAGGTCATCGGATTCAGTAACAGACACCTTCACTCACTGCTCACTGAACTGATGGCCAAAACCTTTTTTTTTTTTTTTTTTTTTTTTTGTATGTTCAAGTACAGAACCAAAGTGGAGATAAAGGGACAACTTCCCAGAAGTCAGTTCTCTAATTCTCTTCTGGCACCTTTTAATACCCAGGGTTTGAACTCAAAGTTGTCAGGCCTGTGGACAAGTGTCTCTTCCTACTGAGCCATTTTGCCAGGCTCCTGGTGTTTTTCTTTTAAGCTAAACATGTATTTATTCTTTCTCTGCACATTATAGGTCCCAGAAAGACACCCACTGCTAACAGCCTAGCTCCTTTGAGGCCTGGTATGTTCAAGAAGCAGTATGGGAACCCCTGACTTGTGTTTCTAAATGACTCCCTTCTGGAAGCTGAAGGCAAGGGACATCTGAATCACTGTCCTTGAGACTTTGAAGATAGGTGGGAGATGCAAAGTTTGCCTAACTAGGCCATCCCCTTCTCTCTCTGACTGCTTTTTCACCTCAGGAAAGCATCCCAACCGAACAGCATCCTCAGAGAAGGACACTTGAAGGCTGACCACAGAGAGCTGGTATGTGGTCAGAGAGACAGAGGAGGAGGGGGAGAGGAAGTGAGTAACAGGCCGAAAATAGGTGGCCCAGCAGGAGATCATTGCCTGAGAGGAGTCAGGACACACTCCGGTTTGACACTCATGACACTGAACTCACTTTATGTGTCGGGATGTCCTGTTCTGTGTTTGCCACCTGGAAGGCACGTTGATATCACAATGTACCACCGGCTTGATCTGCAAAACAAATCACAGGCCCCAGATTTCACTTCAGATGAGCAAACGCTAGTCAGTACCAACACCAAGGACAGCAGAACAGCAAAACCACCAAGGTTGTAGACCACCAAGGACAGGTGCCCCAGGGACTGGGGGGGGGGGTGGCTGGGGTTCAACTTCTCTCCAGTAGGTGACAGGTATATGTGATGTAGGCTGAAGCCCATATACTCTGAGTGGTGGGGAGCTGGAGGGAGACACAGAGCGTCAGGGGAAAGTGGCAAAGCTGAGGAGAGTACATGGTTCATAATGGGAATACACCCAGCCATGCAGCCAGTAAATGCACACTGGTAGCCAAGGTGTACCTGTACTGTGCTGGACAAAGTACAGGGTAAGAGGACTGGACAAGGTGGCTTCTGTTTGAGACCACAGAGTAGACTATGGTAGCCAGGCAGGACACCTTCCCTACATCCCCCAGGCCTGTTGGGCTCTTTCCTAAAATGAAAATGCAGAGGCAAATGCAAGGCCTTCTCAGGACTTCACCTCAGGGATATCCAAACAGGAAGAAATGTTGGGGGTCCTGGCATAGGAGAACAATAGCCGTAAAATATTATCTTCCTGACAAGAGCATCCTACTCGAGAACTCATGGTAGCTGTGTTTTCTAGCCCATGCCCTGCACAAGATCAAGTCATTCACTACTCGAGCGTGGAGAGGGGGGAAGCTTAAGAGTCCCACCCCTAGCTGAGGACATAGTAGCAATTTCTGGTTGCTCAGGGAGGGATTCAGTGTTTTGTTTTTTGGTTTTTGGTTTTTTTTTAGCAGTGTGGCCCATGGCATATTGCCCATGCTCCAGTAGCTGGCACTCTATGCCCATGCCCACGTGGGTAACACTAATTAGTCTACAGGTGTGCACCACCAGCCCCAGTTTTTGTTGTTTGAGATGGGATCTCTCTCCTGGCTGACTTGGAACTCACTGATACCCACCTGCCTCTGCCCCCAGAGAGCTGGGATTAGGTTTGTGCCACCACACCTAGACAGTTTACTTGGGTCCTTACACTTGAGTAGTAAGAATGCTACTGACAGTGTTAGTATTTAGGCATTTTACTGGCCTGCCTTTGGAGTTCTGACAAGATAAGCCCTCAGCTGCTGCCACTAAGAGCACCACCTGTGCCTATTCGATGATATGGTCCCTTTTAAAGGACCCTGCCCACCTCCCATCCTCCGCCTCTTTCTTTCCCATCCTCTCTGTCTGTTCCTCTTTCTCCCTATATCCCTCCCTTCCTTCCTCCCTCTCTCCCAGCCTTTCCAGGCTGCCCCACCCACCCCCCCACCTCCCACCCCCCCATGTGCATGCCCCTTCCCCTTTTCACAATTTAAAAAAGAAACTCCTTTTGATTTCTGTTGCATGGCTTCTTTCTCTCTCTTTTTTAAAATTACAGACCTAATACCCCAGACCCAACCCCTTCTTCACAGCAAGCAGAGACAGGGCATTTAACCCTGTCATTGCCCTCTGCACTCCAGCTGGCCTTCTGGGAGTCTGCCCTGTCTCTCTCCATTCTCATTTGTTTGGGAATTTTGTTTTTTGAATTTTTTATTACCATTGTTTTTTATTATCGTTGGGTTATTTCACACCGGAACAATGTATTTAAATCACAGCTACCTCCCATTCAGTCCTCCCAACTCCTCCCAGCCATCCCCAATGCCCCTCTCCTGACTCTGACTTCACATCTTATCTTCTTTTTAATAATCCACTGAGCCTAATTAGTACTGCCTAGCAACTGCCAATATCCCTTTAGCTTAGATGGGCCTCTTACATCCCTTCCTTCTGTTTGCTGAAGTGCTGCCTGGCTTGATCTTGTGCAAGTCTTGTGCCAGCAACCACAGCAGCTGACAGTTCATGAGTACAGTGTCCTTATTAGGTTCAAAAGACATCATTTTGCAGCACTACTCTCCGATCTCTGGTTCTTACAGTTTTCGAATGCCCTCTGGGGATTTGGGGTGTGGTAGTACTTCCCATCTAGGGCTCTGAGCCCTTCACAATCACTTCTTCTCTGCACTCTGACCAGTTGTCCGTCTCTGTATTGACCGCTGTTGATCTTATAAAGAAGTGTGGGAGATGAAGGGTGACAGTTGGACTGGCCTGTGTGTATAACATTAAGTATTTAGAAGGCACCTTGCAACAACTCAGCCTTCATGTTGCTTATGGTGTTCTTGTTTTGTGGTGTAGGAAGTCCTTCAGCTGAATGGCCCTAGTGTTGACCAATGAGCAGCCCCCAGGAGATTGACGTAATCACCCATGAAGCTGAATAGACAGTGGATGAGGAAAAGGCACCAGGACAGCTCTGCTGCTGAGAAAGGATCCAGAGAAAAGGAGATCAGGAAATGTGTGCATGCATTCGTTTTTGCTCTGTTATGGGTTGCATATAAGATGATGCATACCCTCACACTACAGTGAGAAAACTCCATGCCATGAATATCAGCAACGGGCATGCATTTACAGACCTGGTCTGAAAACAAAATAAGAGAAACTGCTCTGAGACATTCTCCTGGGTACAGACATCCTAGGAAGGGCTTTCTGCTTGATTGCATACAGCTATGGAAACAATGGACTAATTGGGCTTCTGATGTGTTAATGGCTCATTAACCCTGATAGCACCCGCCTAATTAAATAACTGCAGCTATTAAGCACACATTCTGGATTCCTGCTCCCTGTACTCCTTGTAATCATGTCCTAAGAGGAGTCTAACCAATGTGGCGGTTACTGTCTGATGGGACAGTCTCACCCATCAGTTCTGATGAGTCACACACATCACTCATCTGCCTGAGGCCGAAGTACCCAACACATTATAAACCTACTGCCCAAGGCAGTAAAACTAAGCCTAGAATGGAGCCCTGAGGGTAACCATGGAACATTTCTCACTACAGCTGGGGTGCAGTTACCAGCTGGCTCTAAGCCCTGTGGGTAGGTTCTATAAAGCAGTATAACTAATTTCCAAAACAACCTCACAAAATAGCCAGGTGACAGAGAACCAGGTTATGCAATGTTCCCAGGAATGCACAGCATCAAGGGCTGCTGTCCAGGAAAAGCCATCCAAATGCATGTCCTCACAGTGCATAGCTATGTGGTGCCACGCTGGGATGGCTCTGGCTGATGCCAGTGTAATGAGGAGCTTAGCTGCTTAGAATTCCTCAGCCTGCTCGTCACTGGAGTGGAAGGTACAAATGGAGATCACATGTTGGCTAGTGCCTGGAGTGGGTTACAGGCTCACCTGACAGGTGCTTGTTGTCATTGTGCTGTAAAGTCTCTGCCTTTTACCTGTTCTCACACTGCCTGTCCGTCCTCAGGAAACATCCAAACATCTCTTGCCTGAACTGAAAAGACTCTAGCACTAAGGAGAGGCATCCTCACTTAAACACACCCAGAAAGACACCAGATAATGAGCAACAAACTCTTCTATGCTCCAGTGTATGTGTGGAAAGATGCTGGGGGTGACCATGAAGACATCAGGTGTCTAAGCTACTGTCTGAGCCAATTAATATCAGAGACATACGGGTGCCCGAGACCATGAGTGCCTCAAGAGGCATGCCATGGTCTGCACAGTTCTTGTTTTTATTTGTAAAAAATGTTGTGGGTTGTTTTTTGTTTGTTTGGTTTTGAGACAGGGTCTCATGTAGCCTGGGATGGCCCAAAATACACTATGTAGCTGAGGATGACTTTGGCTCCAGATCTTCCTGTGTCCACCTTGAGACTGCTGGAGTTGGCCTATTTCTAGCCAGCTTTTCTAACTGAAATTATCCTGTTTCTCTTTATCTATGTTTTGCCTCTGGGCTTTTTACCTTTCTTTATCTGTCTTTCTTTCCTTCTTATTCTGTGCTAGGTGGGTGACTTGCCCTTGGCACCTCCTTCTCTTTGTTTTTCCTTCCTTTCAGAGCCTACATTTCTTTTCTTATTTATTCTCTTTGCCTGCCAGCCCTGACTATCCTTTTCCTTGCCTAGGTATTGACGGTTCAGCTCCTTATTAGACCAATCAGGTGCCTTAGGCAGGCAAGGTGAGACAAATGCAACACATCTTTACATAATTAAACGCACATCCTTACATCATTAAACAAATGCAGCATAAACAAATGCATCACATGTTTTCACAGTTAAAGTGATATTCTGAGGCATAAACAAGTGTAACACATCTTTGCCTAGTTAAAACGATATTCTACAAAAGTTCATCTTTTGGGAAGTGTTTCAATTCTTTTACATTAAAAATGATAAGTCATGGTCCTGGGGAAATAGCTTAGTGGCTAGAGCAGTTACTATACAAATGTGAGGCTCTGAGTTTGAACCCCCAGAACCCACAAAAAAGCTGAGTGCAGGTAGCACATGCATCTGTAATCCCAGCACTCCTGCAGGGATATGATAGACAGAGATGAGAAAATCCCCCCCCCAGCCCTAAAGCCAGCCTGGGTTACACAGAGCCTCAGAAACATTTAACCTCGAAGACGATAACATGTGCCGTCATACACACTGATGCATACAAATGTGTACACATAGAGACAATTTTTTAATGATGGGTTGTATGACTGAGCCAATTTAATGTGCTTTGTAACTTCCCCTCTGGGAAGATAGGAAGGAAGTATGGGTACCATGTTCAGCCCAACTATGACCCCATCGCTATCATCACCACCAAGTAGTCTCTTTTCCCAATAGCAAGAACATGCATGCTGAGGGACACAAGCACACAGGATTGTGTGTGCACATGTGAGCACACACACACACACACACAGTGCCAACAGTGTTCTTGGAGAGTGTTCATTCTCCAGAACCTCTTCTATTATGCCCTTATTTTAAAAAAAAAAAATGAGACTGAGTCACTCCTGGGCTGGTAATGAGAACCTCCTGCTGGGCTCCAACCATGGCCATTGGGAAAAGAATAAGTGGGTGGGAACAAAGTGATGAATTAGAGTAAAGCAAGACTAGAGGGATTCAACCTAAGTTTAACCAGAGGTATGTTCCCCACAGTTATCCATTACCCAGCCCTTTCCCCCCCATGGTCCAAGCACATGCTTGATTAGTGATCACAGAAGCTTCTGTGCCAGCCTGATGGAGGGGAGCCAGGTCTTCAGACAGAGGTGGAGAGCGTGCAAGAAGGGAGCAAGCAAGCAGGCACACAGGAGGGAATGATTGTGTGCCCAGCTACTATCTAAATCACCTTCCCCATCAGCTAACACCAAACCTGGAAACCCCCTCTTGTCCCTTTTTAAGCCAAGAGACTGTCTCTGAAGCAACACTAACAAAAACCCAGCACAGAGATCCCTGGGGAAGGAAGAGTATATCCTGCAGAGATGGAAAAGGGGGTGTAAAAAGGGGTTCCCCCAAAGAGACACCTTCTTACACAACAGGAGGGAATACAAATTAACAGATGCCAGGCATTGGTGGCACATGCTTTTAATCCCATCACTCGGCAAGCAGAGGCAGGCTGATCTCTGTCAGTTCAAGACCAGCCTGGTCTACAATAGCTAGTTCCAGGACAGCCTCCAAAGCCACAGAGAAAACCTGTCTCCAAAAAAAAAAATTAGAACAGACATAACAAAATAGGAATTGGGAAATGGGAAAACCAGTAAAGCCAGGTGACAATTCATGAAAAGCTTAATAAAACTGGTAAACTTGTAGCCAGCGAGTTCTAATTCAACTCATCTTACTGGTTAGTCTCAAACACTTACTTCCTTCACTTTTCTCATCTTTGAAGGTTTTCTGGGAACTATATTAATATAGCTGCAAAAAAAATAGAGAGGAGAGATTATAGTTAGAAAGGCAATATTCACACTAGGCCGTGGAGCCTCTGCCAAGAAGAAGCTATGTAACACAAGGAAGCAGGCAACCCCACAAGTCAAAAGTGAATCCACATCAGAACATGACAGCAGCATGTCATGGGATACCTCCAACTGTGCTAACTGGCCTTGCCCTGTGGAACTCTCTCCAGTGACGTGATTAGACGGATCTCTGTGAGTTTGAAGCCAGCCTGGTTGACAGAGTGAGTTCGAGGACAGGCTGGGCTACACAAAGCAACCCTGTCTCACAAAAATAAATAAATAAATAAATAAATAAAAATACGAGAAAAGTTTACACTCTGGTCTTTGAAACTTGTGTGGACCAGGCAAAGCTCAGCCTGTAGATATTCAGCCTAGGACTCTACCACTCACTGCCCCCATCCACAGGCCTGTCCTTCAACCTTTCTAACCCCCTCATACTCTCCATTCTTCCAAACTCATACTGCTAGCAGCTCTAAGATCCTGGTTTTTATAGTCTCTCACAAACAGTAGTCTCCCAGAGCAGGCAAAGGGCTAACATTACATTTTTCAAAACTGCAAAAATAATTCAGAAAACTTAAGGCACAAGAGCCACACAGTGCTATGTGTTGTTCAGTGTTGTACTCTCCTGAGAACATGGAAACAGACCAAGAGAGCAGGACCCAGCAAGCAGGGTTGTCACTGAGCAACCCCCTTGGTGTCTCCAGAGGGAGAGGAAGATGTAAAGTGGCCCTGGGTGCAGGCGCTTTGAAGAAGGGCATTTATTTAACCCGTTTGGTGCTCCTGTGTGATGGACACTCACCACTTGATTTCTGATGAGAGTGTGAACTCTGAGAATAGATCTCTTTTGCCCAAAGCTGCTATTCAGTTCCACTCAGAGGGAGTCCTTGTCCCCTTGGCAGAATTTGACTGTCTCTCCCACTGCCTGCCATGGCCTGTCACACCCTCTCCCCACCCCCAGGCCTTGATATATATGACAAGGCAAAACCAGGAAGGCTAGAACTTAAATAGCACTTCCACAACTGTATTCCAGCAAGCTGTTCTGTGAAAACCTTTCAAGCCACAGGCCCCTGGTCATCATTGGGGGGGGGCCTGAGGGGGGGAGCCCAGGACTGCTAGCTTCCCTTACAACTGTTTGCTAGTGACACAATTAGAATCTTATTATCTGGTGAATATTAACTGCTTAGCGGCTCAGCAGTTGCAGACGCCAAGGCCCATGCACTTTCCTGATGGCAGGGCAGAAGTGTTTCATAGTTTTATTCAGCAGACTGGAGCCCGATTTCACATGCCATTAACCTAAAAGATGAGGAAAATGAAGCCTAAATGCTTCTCTGTATTGAATCCACCCGCAAATATCGTGCATTTAATTCATAGCAATAAAGGTGTCTGGATAATGCTAACTAATCTGTACCATTGCTCCCCTCCCCGGATTCTCTGAACCCCAGGTTCTGTGTATAGCCTGTTTTACCAAAGGCAATGAGTGTGGTTCCTGATGCCAGATGCCCTGGATGAGGCTCTGGATGGGATGTGCAGCTGGGTGAGGCCCCAGGTGAGGTGTGCTGTATGCAGAGGGCTGGGTGGGGAGAGATCCAGAAGCTGCACTACTTACTCCAGTTTCTTGAAGCGCTCGCGGCCTGCAGCCACGTACTTGCCACCAGTCTGCAAGGCGTCCAGCCCGAGCACCGGGTGGCCGCGCGTGGGCGTGTAGAGCCTCCGCACACCGAAGGGCACATCCACCTGCTCGGTCAGCTGCTCCAGCAGAGCATCGAAGTTGGCCACCTGGCGCCGTGAGAACACGAACTTGCGGCCCACATAGAATTGGTCCCCGTTGCGGTACACCAAGATGGTCTTGGCCGGCGTGGTGTCCACCAGTGCATAGGGCCCGCGTGTGCCCATGGCCACTGCTCGCTCACGTCGGGATGTGCCCAGTAGTACACGGGGACACCCAGCACACCCGCCGAGAACCCACGGGCTCCCTCGGGCTGCCTCGGGCCACAGGGGGACTGGGCTGCCAGACCAGTGGGCCGTGAACCTGCTGCACACGCTGACGTCCTGCAGCGATTGTGACTGGGCCAGTGGGAGAGGGGCGACAGAGAGCCAAGCAGGACAGAGGCGGCTGGCCAGGGACATAAAGGATGAAGAGAGGAGGGTCAGAAAGCAAAGAGGTGATAATAGAAATAAATCCGGGAGCAGCAGGAAGCTCGGAGACATAATTGGCATGGAACCGAGAACACACACAAAAGCGAGGACACAGATCTGGGAGGGGTGTGACACACAGAACCAGGGCTGGGAGGGTGCAGGAAGAGCCCAGAAAGAAAAGAGGGAAAGCCTAGTGAGGTGATGCTTGCTCTAATTCCAGTACTTGGGAGACAGAGGCAGGAAGATCTCTGTAAGTTCGAGGCCAGCCTGGTCTATAGAGAGAGTTCCAGGCTAGCCAAGACTACCTAATAAAACACTGGAGGGAGTGAGGGGAACAGATGGGGGGAGGGAGAGGGAGAAGAGGGAGAGGAAAGTGGGAAAAGGGTGAGGGAAGAGGGTGAGAGGGAGAGAGAGACCCATCTACAGGCACCAGACAAGTGAAGTGACAGGGCTCAGGAAAGAGGATGCAGACAGGTGGCGCTGGGCCTGGAGCGCCCATCCTGACCTCCCAGCATGCCACTGCTGTGCACTCCAAAGCCACTTGACCACTGACACTGGGGACTGCTGGAAGCATGTCACCTCCTAACCCTCTGTTTCTTACCTTCATCCCACATCTGTGTAAGACTTCCAGGCTCAGCACCACACTATGTGAGGGACTGGCTGCCGTCGGCACTACTAGTACCCAGGACTCTAAATGTATGGCATTTCAGGATACATGGCAGATGGAGTGGGGAGAAGGGAACCTTTGGTAAAGCCATCCCTATTCAGGACCATTATCTCTTGAATAAATTATTCTAGAAACACTTCCCCCAAAGGCTTTAATGTGCCTAAACAAGCTCTCAGACCCATCAGGAATGTATCCTGTACACACAAGTGGTACAGGAAATCAGTACTTTTAACTATCACCATTTTGTAGTGTTTTTTTTTTTTTTTTTTTCAAAAAGTGCTTCTTCGGCCAATTTTTAAGCTACCAACTTGGTGGGCAACAGGAGACAAAGACCAGTTTGTGGGGTGACCACTTTATTGAACCATCAGGTGTTCAGAACACTGAAGACAGTGGGTGACTACTACTGTAGAAGAGCTGTTTAAAGATTTGCCTTGAAGCCCGCTTTCAGAGAGAACCTTAGCATGGGCTTCTCCCGGAGGGGCCGCAGCAAACAAATGGAGCTGGGGAAGCCCTTGAGCCGAAGGCGGCTTATACCCCCATCAGGGGTGATGGTAAGCCTGGCATGAGTGATGACATCCTGGAGCTCCAGGGTCAGGCTGTCCAACAAGTGATTTTGGTTAGGAGATAGCTGGAAAAAAGACAGATGCAAGGTCCTTGTAGGAGGGTTGTATATAACTCCCCCAATAAAGTCAGTCCAGCTTGGCCTTGGGGGGACTTTAAGAAAAGTTTTTCAGGAATAATTTGGCCCAACGGAAAACTGCTAATGGAGAAAGGACACCTATGTGACAATGGCATGCATGTTCAAGTGCAATGTTATGTCTTAGTAAGTAGATGAAATAAATCAAAGAGGAGGTAATCTGGTGTCTTCAGGGCTACATGGAACCGCACCACACCCATGGTGACCATTTCCCTGGTCCAACACACTCTAGCATGTATCAGGGTGTCCATCCTACAGATGGGCACGGCATGACAACAGTGTGCTGGGCACCCTTCAGGTAAGTTAAAAGTACTACAGAAACACTTGCCTGTGTGTGCATTCTTAGCACACGATGGGGTTTTGTTTTGTTTTAACAAACTTTTTGATTGTTAGGCATGCAAAAGTCACAGAGTCCATCCTCCCCTGTGAAAACACAGGTGTGGCTTTTTACAGTACATCTATTTTACTGTTAAACTGAGCAAAGACTTCTAGAAAAGTTAATTTGAAGAGCTAAAATCCTAGCTGCTTGGGAAGCAGAGACAGGAGAGTTATAAGTTCAAGGCTGGTCTCTAAAACTCATCAAAACCCTGCCTCTAAAGGTATAAAAAGAGACAAGGGTGGAGCTCAGGGGTGGAGAGATGTGTAGGGGTGGAGCACAGTAGAAAGGAGATGTTGCAGGGGTGGAACTGAGAGGTAGGGAGATGTGTAGGGGTAGAGCTCAGTGTTAAGGAGATGCCTAGCATATACAAAGGTCCCAGGTTCCTCCAGAGACAGAGGGTCAGTCCTAAAACTGCACTCCACCAACCTTGGTGACCGGAAGCAGAGGCTTCCACTTGTGAGAAGGAAGAATCCACTTGTGCCTGACCATGTCTTCCTCTTCCTGCGTGGTGAGGACACACCCATCCACTTTGCAGCTGTCTGGAGAATTGCCTGTTGGAGCAAACCAAGACTTGGGAACTGTTTCCTTAGCACAGCTCAGCTTCTAGGATACAGGTAATTTAATCAGATCAAAACCCAGAAATGGGCTGGGAAGACAGCTCTGTGGTAGAACACTTGCCTTGTGTATATGGGTCCCTAGGTTCTATTCCCAGCACCACAAAACAACAAAAATCAAGAGCAACCCAGAGTTCTTCCTAAGCAAAACATATAGCATAGGAGAAAGGAAACATGGAACTGGACTGCCTTGTGGAGTATGGGAGTGTGTGCAGTTTGTAGAGACGAGAAGCAGCCAGCCTTGTATTTGTTGAATGCAGCCACACTTTGAAAGTTGAACGTACTTAGTAAGCATCATATACTGCAGACTAAATTGATTGCTTACTGCTATGTAGCACCTCTGAAACCAAAATGGACCTGGGAACTACTAGCCTTACATTGTCACTCTATAACATGGCAATACGAAATTCTGGGGCTGGAAGGTGGCTCAAGTAGCTAAGAGTACTTCACAACTGCCTTAATCTCCAGCCCCAGGGGATCTGACCTCAATCTAGCCACCACCATAGTTACCTGCACAGTCACACTTACACATAAAAATAATAATAAATAAATGTTTCAAGTGAAGGAAAAAAATAACAGGAGAGGCTATGATCATAAACAACACTAGTGGGTGCTGAGCACTAGCCAAATATTCTGTGCCCCAGGATTGCTAAGTGGTTTCTGGGTGAAAGAATACAGCCTTGAGTCTCTCTCTTCTCTTTGGAACTACACAGAATCCTATGCAAAGGTCAGATGCCCTAGGGGAAGGGTCACATGATCTTGTGAGGAATATTCCAAGATGAAGATCCAGAACCCTAGCAGAAACTCCTTACTGCCTGAATGCCCCGTTAGTGTTCACCTCTTGGGAAAGTAGCCTTGCATGCGGGCCATGTGTGAATGCAGGAAGAACACCAGAGAAGCCATAACTGTCCCTGACATTTGCATAATACTATCTTGTGCATCTTTGATCCAACTGAATTTAACTTACATTATTGATACCAGGGATATGTTGTCATCCTCCCCCACCCCCACCCAAGATCCCAAGGGTCCAGCAGTTTATTTTCATGACCTATTTAGAGCACTGGCTAACAGGATTTATTGTCTGTTGCCTTTGACTAAACTCTCTCATGAAAACAAATAGGTTACCCTACACCAGTCATGAAGAGAAGAATGGACTAAAAATGTTATTAACATTCAAGCACACACAAAAGAGCTGGCTTGTCACCTGCTCCTCAGGATATGCTTGTCTCAATGATCAGTGAGAACAGCAGTATAATCTCCAATGAGGTCTTCTTCCCACATGACACCAACCTCTGGCCCCTATGAAGCTGCATACATGAACACACAGACACACAAACACACACACACAAATACACACATACACCAATAAATAGCAGTCTACCAAAAGGGAGCCAAACATACAAAAGTTTTTTTAAATCACTTTATACCCACTAAGGAACCTGACCCTCGTATTATTGAGCATTCATATAATCAATATTAAAATCATGATTTGAAAGTTATTCAAAAACTCCAACCATCCAAAGTGTGAGTATAAACTGCCACCTTCTGTTATCAAGACAGCTAAGCAATCACGAGACACCCAATCTAATACTTTAATCACCTAATAGACACTTCTGTAGCCTCTTCAATTCTCTTAATATAGTGGGTAACACATATATTTCATAAGAAAGCAAGTACAGACTTGCCCAGCTGCTGTCCCAATTCTTTTTACTACTGGGTCCCCTCTCTGCTTTTCTCGTGAGCTCTTTGCACCTTCCAAGGGGAAAACGCCTCATGGTGGCCTGGAATCTCATGTGGCTCACGGGCTTGTCTCTTTAAGTTACTGGCTCCCAGCCTGAAGAGTAGAGACAAGCTCTGTCCTAGAGCTGCAATCTTCTTCTTTTCATGGCTTTCAACAAGATGACTTTCAGAGACAACCAGCCAAATAGGGCTTCTCAGGGGACAGTGCATGACAGAATTAGAGTGACCATCCTCAAAGCTGCATGGCTGAGTGGGAGGACCAAAACCTCAACCAACTCCCACAGCACCTGTTACTGAGCAGTGGACCCGATGGCCACATGGCCTGACCTGAGACTTACCTATAAAGTACTTCGTATCGATTTCAATTTGAGTGATGACTCCAGGATGTGCCAATCGGAACACTGCCCACTCACAACCTGGGACCTGGAGAAGGCCATTCTCATTGCTCTGGAATTCAAAATCAACATTAGGAGCCAACTTGGAGTCAAGAAAGCCAACCTAACCACCATCAGGAGTTGTCATCTCACACTATGCTTACAAACCAAGTGTGGTCTGTAATCTCAGCACTCTGGAGAGAGAAGCCAGAGGTTCAGGAGTTCAAGGAGAGCCTGGCTACCTGAGACCCAGTCAACACACACACACACACACACACACACACACACACACACACACACACACGATACAATTTCCACATTAGTAATAAGTTCATGAAGAGTGCTATAGACACAATGATGCTAATCTACTTCAGCCCGTAGATCCTCTAAACTGTTTGACCTTCCAAAGCAAGTACTTTCCTAGTTATGTGTTCTGCTGGTTGACTGGTCTCCAACCCTTGCTTCTCCAGAAGTCAGAAGCCTATTTATATTTGGAAGAACTGGATGGCAGGAAGTCAGACCCCAGAGAAAGGGGCAGCTGTAAGTTTCCAATAGATTTGCAAAACAAATGGGGTTTTGTTTTGGTTTGGTTGAGGTTTAATTAAAGTGTTGAATAGGCTATAACATCCTCTGTGGGTCATGGGTCTACTGTAGGGAACATGGACCTTAAATATTATTAAACCAGTGTTTCCTCCAGGCTTTCCAATAAATCCACACATCTCTTTTGCATTATCGTGTACAGACACTTGCTACCAGGCCTGAGTTCAATCCCCCAGGTCCACATGGTGGAGGAAGGCAATGTTAAGAATTATTAAATCAATTATTAATTAAAAAGAGAAAATGAACTTTATATTCTCTTCTTTCTTTAGTAAGTAAGTAGAATATTCAAAATTAATTTGACTAGAGCATCCAATAAGATGTGTTTAGTCTTCTGGTAAAATTTAGTGTAATACTGCACCAGGGAGAGTAGTAGTGGAAATGTAGTAGGAAATTTGAAAAAAAAAAAAAAAGTGTAGAAAATAATAACAAAAACTTAGACCATGGATTACAGGGGTTTGTTGGTTTTAGTTTGTTTTGCTTGGGGGTGTTCTGTCTGCTTGTGTTTTGAAACACATGGTCTTATGTAGGCCAGGATAGCCTAGAACTCCCTATGGCTTCCCTGGTTCTATTGTGATTGCTATAATAGTTTCATCAGTGCAGGGGAAGAAGACAGGGTTTTGTGGACTGACAATCCCAAGTTACCATCCATCATCTCAGGAAGTCAAGGCAGGAAATCAGCTAGTCACATCACATCCATCCACAGTCCAGAGCAGAGAGAAGCAAATACAGCCATGTTGCCTACTTGTTTAGTGTTCTATCTAGCCTTCTCTACCCCGTAGGACCCAGAGACCTAAACTAGGGAGTGGTGTTACCTACATGATCTGACTCTTCCTGTATCAATTAACAATCAAGACAACCCCCAACTGATTCTAGGTTGTATCAAGTTGACAGTTAAAACCAATGCCAAAAGAAACCAACGGTGGCTTTGAACTCCTGATCCGCCTGCCTCTACCTCCACTGTGCTGGGATTACAGGCATTCAAATCACACCCAGCTCAAGAGAATCCCTAATTAAGCACACTTTTCCTTGATGTAATGTGAAAGAAGTATTTTCAAACACTTTCTAGAAAAAAAGAAACTTGAAACTACAGTTGTTGCTCGTCTTACTTCTAACACGGGGGGTCTGTCCAGCCTCCTTGCAGTTTCCCAGCCATCTGCCATGGACTTAGGCTTGCCAACACCTACAAGGAAGAGTTGGTGTTAATAAGGTGACCTTTGGTTTCACTTGAATGTGGGGATGAATTTGCTGCCCTTAAGTTACACATCCCATAACTCCAAGTATCACTACATAAGTAATTTCAATAGAGTTGATATTCCAGTGAATTCATAGCCATGAGATTGACTATTTTTTTTTTCCTTTTAGCAGCTACTTAGGCCAAAATTAAGAAGGGTCATGACTCTTGTTGATCCACTCCATATCACAGAGGCTTCAAGTTGGCCCCATTCTCCTAGAGAGTCCCCACCCCCACCCTGGGCTTCATTTTGGCCATGCCTGGCTTGCAATGCCGCTGCACATACTTCAGTATGAAGACTGGCTTCTGGGATGCCCTCTCACCTATCATATTATTTGGATGTCCAAAGTGTGCATTACTAAATCCTACACAGACTCCCCCAAAAGCAATGGCCACCAGGTCTACAGGTTCCTTGGAGTCTGATGAAGTCCAGTCCCTCTGTCCTGTTCCGTACACTCGGAGGCGTGCGATACCACCATCTGAGAAGGGAAGGTGTCTATGTTAGCTGGGAGAAGATGAATTCTAGAGTACCATGTTCCCTGGGCTTGCTAGCCCTTGCCCACCTCCTTTCCCACTTGTCTTACAACACAGTAAGCCTACTGCCCAGGCCCCTGCAGTGGACACTGCCCTGACAGTCTCCAACATTACTTGTCATTCTTGGCCCTCGAGTGCCACGGCTCCAAAAATGCCCTCATTTGCCTCACACTCTTCTCCTGCCCATCCACTAGGTCTCCATCTGACTCACCGGGCAAATGTTATCATGTCTCCCCTTTCCTTCACGCCGTTGCTCTAATCATAGCCTAAAGTTAAATTTGTTGTTTTGCTTTCATGTTTTAGGTCTCTACTAATATTGATGCCACAGACTCAGAGTATAAAATTCCTGGAGGAGCCTGGTGGTGGTGGGGCAGAGGCAGGTGGATCTCCGTGAGTTTGAGACCAGCCTGGTCTACAGAGAGAGTTCCAGGACAGCCAGGGCTATACAAAGAAACCCTGCCTCAAAAAAAAAAAAAAAAAAAAAAAAATCCCTGGAGGGCAGACCAGTTACGGAGTATGTCACATCCATGCAGTTCCCAGCATGTGGCAGATTGCCAGCTTCCTTGGGAAGCAAAAATAAAAATCAACTGGAAAATTATCATCACGTTTTTGGGGGCAGGTTCATCAGTGAAGAGTGTTCGATGTTCTAGCAGAGGACAGTTCGGTACCCAGCATTCACACTGAGTGACTCACACCCAACTACCTGTACTCCAGCTCCAGAGAATCCAACACCCTCTTCTGGCCTCCATGAACACTTGCAAACATGTATGCAAGCACACACACAAATATACACAAGGAAAACTTTTTTGGCATCAGAAGCAAGCACCAAAGACTCAAGCACTGATTTGCACTTTCAAAGACTGTGTCCCTGGGGATCCTGCATAAGACCAAACTAGACTCACTTAATATAGGTGACAATGGTGTGGCTGGAACAATATATGAGGCCACTGGCAATGGATCCAATATCTAACACTAATGCACAAACTGACTTAGTAGAGCCATTCTATACGGAGAGACACCTTACCCAGTCTAGACACAGGAGTGTGGAGAGGGAGGTGGAGAGGTGCCTTGGTCCTTCCTCAACAAGATGGGACAGACTTAGTAGACTTCCTAGGGGAGGCCTTGCCCTCTGAGGAGCAGATTGGGGGAAGGAATGGAGGGAGTGGGATGAGAGGAGGGAGGGGGAACTGGGATTGGAATGTTAAAAAAGTTAATTAATAAAAAAATGTTTTTTTTTTTTTTAAAAAGTATCTCAGGTAGAATTGCCACAAAACAGTAGCAAGTCAGCAAAGAGGCAGAAGAAATCTCACAGGCAGTGTCTACCCCTCACTTCAACCAGGGCAGAAGACAATGGCCAACTAAAAAAAGTATTCAGGTAGCCTCTGGATCCAACCCATGAAGGCAGGACTCTCCCTGCAAAATGTCTGAGATATTCCTTAGCTCTTAAACCTCATCTAAGTTGGATTCAACACATGAAGTTGCTGTTTTGACATGCCAAAAATAGAGATTTCCTGGAGCTGACAAAATAACTCAGCAGGTAAAGGTCACTGCTGCCAAGCATAAGGGGGGACCTGAGTTCAATCGCTAGAACCCAGGTAATGGAGAAACCAGGCTGGCCTCAGACTCACAAAGATCCACCTGTCTCTGCCTCTCCAGTGCTGGGATTAAAAGCATGTGCTACCACCTCCTGGCTAAACTGATACATTTTCATTAACTACCCATTGATGAACAGAGTATCAGTTTCTTGATGCACAAAGTAAATCACAATCCTATACCAAGCTCAAATTACCTGGAAAAGATGGCTCATTTTGTACTTCTTGAACATGATGATGTAAAATGAAAAGTCTCCACACCTGTCAAAGGCCCTGTCTTACATACCTGGAAAGATGTTGAGTCTTATGTGAGTCCATCTCTGCTGGGAATTGACAAAAAAATAGTTGTGGCTGGAGTCAGGTTCCCCTGGCTTGAGCTCTGACATGGGAACCAGGTAATCCCAGGAGTCCGATTTTAGCTAATAATAAATATAGGAACATCAGCAATGGTTCTTGAGAACAATACACTCTTATCCTACGCAAGATTACGGGGGGGGGGGTAGTGGGGGGGGGGGAAATTATTATAGTTGCTGAATGACACACTTTAATAATAAACATAATAAACGCTGGGTTGTGGATCTTCCTCCCCCCACCACCCTCCCTCCCACACACACAAACACATAACAATTAGGTAATTTGTAAATGGACGAGATATCAAATGCCTTCTTCTTGATTCTTAGAAGAAACAGAGTGGTGATGTGGGCATTCAAATAAAACCCAGGCTCTGAGGCTGAGGGAATGGTGGGCTGAGTCCTTCTCAGAAAGCTGGCCCATTCGATGCTCCCCGACTATCACAGATCAACACATTTGCAATAGCACAAATTAATTACTAGACAAACTTAACATAATGAGAAGGTGCCAACCACAAGCCCCATTTGTTTATCTTACTAAATTCAGCAAAACTCACTTCGTCAAATCACTACAGAGGTAAATGTGGAGGGTTTCCTGGTGGGGCGGCAGCAGCAGTGCGCAGCCGCAGGCAGTACCCAGTGCGCAGCTGCAAGCAGTACCCACTGACCCTTCAAGGCCGTGGACAGCCAGGCCATTCTCCCACACAGAGGGAATGAACCACTGAGGAAAACTGCACTGCCATGCTGTATAGGTACAAGAGGCACAGGATGCCAGGTGGCACATCCCAGGCAATTGTCTCATACAGCCAGACCTGCAACCGTCTCTTTACGCAGAACCAGCATCTTACCTCACTAATGATTCCAAACTCCTCAGGCGTTGCTGCAGCTCCTATCTTGACTCCTCTTGGTGGGATGTCTGGCACTTTTTCTGAAATCAAAACAACCAGACAGGATCAAGATGGAGCAACAAAGAGAACAAACTCTCTTCTGCCTAACGTCCAGAAAGGCACCCTTGCTGTAGTCACAGAATCACTGGTTAGTCTAGCATGCCAACTGGAGTTGCTCATTGTGCAATTTGCTAACTTATTTCAGAGGACAGTAGAATGATACATTGTTACCACATTTGCTCAGCATTTCAAGTTAGGCCAAATTCCATAGATCAATCACTTTTTTGAGTTCAGAATGCACACAGCACTTACTTTTTCAGCATTAGTGTATCCAGTGACACAGTATATCCTCCCTAAAAATGTGTGCACTCATGTGACTATGTATCAACTAATTCAGTTGCCAATGACAGATTGTGCAAATAAATTATGAAACCCACATAATCCACAGCATCCATTGTTCCCAGAGGAAGAATGGGGGCCTTGCCTAAGAAACCCAGAGCTGCTTCACCATGCAGACCCTTATGTAGCTGGAAGTATGCTTGGAGCTACTAGTCTGCAGTCATCTTGACTCTGATACCACAGCCCACTGCTCCCACCCTCCCACTTTCCCCAGAAACCAGCTCAGCAAACACCCCCACACAGAGAGAGAGAATACAAGGATACACCTCTGCAGACCTGAACTCTGGAGGGTTGATGGGCCAGCAAACACAAAGAACATCAAAACCTCAGGGAGCCCATCATAACCCTAGTTCTTAGGCTCTGTGGCAACCCAACAACCTCAGAGCATTGACACATCAGCTTCTTATGGAACGATTAGCATCAAGTTGAGTCAGAGGAGCCTCCCATGCCACATTCCTCCCTGGGCACAGTGGCTCCTATGTACCTTCATTCAAGTTTGCTGCTTGAATCGACATGCGGGGAGCATAGCTCCCTGAGAAGTAAGAAATGTCCACGTCGACACCACGGATAATGCCCTGTATCCCCAGCTGGATGACACACCAGTCATGACCTGTACAACAGAACCATAAGAACACCAGTGATGTCCATGGATGAGTACAAGAGCATCCCATGAGGTCCCATGGGGAGTGAAGGTAGCACATGTGTGGTCCCATGGAGAATGAGAACATCCATGAGGTCCCATGGGAGATGAGGAGAGCACCCTTGAGGTCCCACAGGAGAATGACAGCAGCTATGAGGCCCCATCTTCTACCACAGAAGCACATGTTCAGAGTGGGTCTTATAATGTGACCACCAAAGACCACAATGACCTTCAGGATCCTCAATCAATTCTAACCAGAAAATGCACAGGCCTTGGATTCAGAGACAATTTCCAAGCCCACTGTTGTGCTGTGCAGACAGGGTCTCCATGAGGCTTGTTTCTTTAAGTCAAAGAAGACATTAGCTTCTGCAAGCTTCAATATGGCCAGTGTAGAGTAGAACCCCCCAGCCTGGCTCTTCTGCAAACTTACTCCCTATTTCAGAGCTCCCTACACCTCCACCCATGCCCCCAGTATTCCTATATGTACCTACCAAGTCTTCAAGACACAGTCCCACCACCACCACCACTCCAGATTCTCACGTAGTCCAAGCTTAAACTAGCTAGACATACAAGAACTAATTACCTTGAGCTCCTGATCACCTGGCCTCCACCTACAGGGCTAGGGTAATAGGAATGCACCACTATACCTGGTTTAAGTGGTGCTAAGGATCAAACTCAGGCTTCCTGAATGCTAGATATGGTGATTTGAACAGGAAGTATCTCCCATAGGCTCAGGCATTAGGACACTTGGATCCCAACTGGCAGTGATATTTGGAGAGACCTAGGAGGCCGGACTTTGCTAGGGGAATAGGTCACTAGAGAAGGGCTTTGAGAATCTGAAGCTATTTCCATTTCATACTCTCTGCTGTGGCATGCTGTTAAAGATGTGACCTCTCAGCTTTCTGCTCCTGCCACTCAGTGCCTCCTGATGTCATGCCTCCCCACTACCACAGACTCTAACCCTCTGAAACTGTAAGTCCAAATAAACTCTTTTGTCTACGAGTTGCCATCTTCATATTATTTTATAACAGCAATTAAAAAAAAAAAACAAGTAATACCCTAGCCAAGCAGTCTATCCATGAAGCCTCATCCCCAGCCCCAAGCAGCCACCCTCTCTAAACTTCTTCACAGTGTGGGAAGAGCAGTCACCCCCTCTTTACCTGGAATCCGTTTCCTCCTGGTCTCCCAACCATCCATCCATTTCCCAAACTCGGTGTATTCATGTTCCTTAAAGCTTGGACTGTGGCTCTAAGAAGAGGGACAGGAGATGATTAACATTCATGAAGAGCTGGGGTTGCCAGCCTCTCAGGCTATGTTGCAGAGAGACAAGGACTCACTGGGAATGCCTGCCCACCTTCATGCTTGACTCTACCACCCAGACCAAGAGGTGCCTCCATATTTTTCACCATCTGAGAATAGAACTTGTCTGTGAGCCTCAGCCTACAGAATGAACCCCCAACAGCAACAGAGGAGACCACACGTGGGCTCCATGAATGTGTCTAGGTGGTCGCTGCACAAAACAGAACTCAATCACACTTCCAAAGCAGGTCTCCAGGTCAGGTCATAGGAGAACTGGCTGGAAGCTTGGGGTCAGGATAGACACTGGTGGTCTTGTGGTATAGGTTCTGTACCACTTCTTGTCAGAAGGCAAGGACTCCTGGTGGCAATGATGCCAGCTCAGGTTCTTAAAATGAACCACTGAGAAATCTGCTGCATCCCTGAGAACCAGGATGATGGCAGGGCCTCAGTGGAGTATGGTGACATTGAAATAATTCATGAGCAACCCTAGGACAACCTCTCTCAGAACATTCCATAACTCCCAGCCTAGGGTCTGTAGAGCAGGCTCACCCCATACCTCCGTTTCCTTCACTGGGGAAAGGCAGAGGATATTAATGCTTTTCCCCAACAAAGACCATCCTGGGTGTCAGGACCTTATATGGAAGTCCATTCCGTCCAGCCCCTGAGTTCAGAGAGCTCAGCTCACTCCCATTGTCTCTAAAACATTAGTTTAATGGCTACAGGATGCCCCAGGCCTCTGTGGTGAATGGCTCCTATCTAAATAACAATAGACTTGGGCCCAGCCGGGTTTACTCTCACCCTGAATGCTAGGTGATCCATGCAGCTATGAAATGCCATTGTCCCCACCTTTGGTTGAATACTTAAGATGGTGTATGAATAAACGGGGATGCATTCAGTATGGACTGAATCTGCCCTCCTGAAGGCTATCCTATGTCTCTGACTCTTCATTCTCTTAGCTAGCCTTTCCCTCATCCACACACCCCCAACTCAGGAGCAGACCCAGGGCTAATCGACTGGTCCCAACTGCAGCCTCACAAATACCAGTCTGTGACACCTGGGCTCTGGGACATGCCAGGCTGCATAAGATGTGCCCACATTTGCTTAGAGATGTATACATGCTGGCAACATTTTTACTTTACTACAGATTGGGGGTCTTTGATCTAATCATCTAAAACATCCCAAAGTCCTCACACTCCAGGGTGATAGGAGGAAAATATACTATGTAGAAAGAGTGACAATTGCACATTTGAAAAAAGACCCTAGTCTGGTCACAGGGTTCCCTCACAGCCCAGAGCCTGCTCTCCAATGAAGGACACATAGTTAAATGTGACCCACCGAAATGCACATAGATGAAGAGGAGGGGCTGGGACTGCAAGACCATGGGAGGGAGCTCAGGCAGTGAAACAAGTCTAGATCCAGAATGTCAGATACTTAAGACATTACAAAGTGCAAAGCATGTCATAGATACAATTGCTTTAAAGTGTAAGATACACCAGACTTTTCTGCTATGGACTGAATCCCCATGTTCCCAGATCCCCATGTTGAAATCTCCAACCATGGTGTGAGGATATGGGGGCTTGGGAATGATTTGGTCACAAGAGTAGAACATGTTATAGTTTGAATGTTAAATACTCCCAAAGGCCTGGGTATTAAACAAAAGCCTAAACGTCAGCTTTGGTGATCTCCAGGATCAGTGAGAGATCCCTGTCTCAAAAGATAAGTGGGGAGTGATTAAAGAGACACAGATGTCTGTCTGTAGTCTTCACACACATAAATGAGACTAGCTGGCCAACAAGACCCAAGGACCCTCCTGTCTCCACTTTCCCAGTCCTGGGATTATAGGGCACTCACCTCTGTGCCTGATTTCTTTGTACATTCTGAGGATCCAAACTCAGGTCCCTTATGCTTATACAGCAAGCACCTTATCCACTGGGGCAGCTCCCAAGCTCTACCTGTCCAGCATGTGTGTGGAGTCAGCAAATAGCTTTCAAGAGTTAGTTCTCTGTTTCTACTGTGGGTTACAGGGATTAAACTCAGGTCCTCAGGCCTGTGAAATAAGTACTAAGAATGCCCTACCTATTGTAATTAGGCAGATACTCCCCAAAACTCAAGGTGCATCATGCATTTTCTTCCAGCCCCAGGAAATAGGATCCATACTAGTTGTGTGTCATACTCAGTGACCTCAGTTTTCTCCCTTGGCAACCCCTGATCCTCGATCCCTCTCCTGGCTCCACCTGACCTGGCTCTGGATATTCCCTGGGAGCTGGTGCTGAATTGGGTACCTTTCCGGTAGTTTGATCCTTCCTGCCTAGTACACAACACATGGATGGCTTCCATCCCAGAAATGTATGCACAAGTGCAGAGTTTTAGCTAAGTAGATCATTCACCATACAGGATGCCCGTACCTTTATGAGGTTTTCTGCAGGAGCGAAAAAGTCATCCGTTGCAAACAAAACCTGGACAAAGAGAAGACAGGAATCAACCTCCCACCCAGCTATATCGCCCTTGGACATCTACCCAAAGGATACTCAATCATACCAAGAGGACACTTGCTCAACTATGTTCATAGAAGCTTTATCCATAATAGCCAGAACCTGATGTCCTCAACTGAGGATAAAGAAAATATGGTATATTTACAAAATGGAGTACTATTAAAAAAAAAATGGAGTACTACTCAGCTGCTAAAAACAAGGACACCAGGAACAAATGGATGGAACTAGAAAAAAAATCATCCTGAGTGAGATAACCCAGATGGAGAAAGACAACCAAGGTATGTACTCACTCATGAGTAGATATTAGATGTAAAATAAAGGATAACTATGCTACAATTTACAGACCAGAGAGACCAGGTAACAAGAAGGGTTCTTGTGGGGGACACCTAGATTTCCCTGGAAAGAGGAAATAGCGATTTTGTGAGTGAACTGATGGTGGGTGAGGATGGAAACATGAAACATGAGTGATCAGGTTGGGGGCAGCATACCTTTCCTCCCACGCACTCAGAGGCCATGTCAATCAGCTGGGTGAAGTCCAGAAATCTGGTCAGTTTTCCCTCCTTTGGAGTATCAGTCATGCTTCCGAGAGGTGAGAAAGGCAGATCCTGTCAGAAAGTAAGGAGGCCTCTGAAACCATGCCTGGAGGCCCTCAGAGGTGAAGCAGTGAAGGAATGGACTGTTTGTCACCTTGGTGAGACCAAAACAAGGAGTGAAAGACAAGAATGAGTCTCCACTTAACACACAGATCACAATCACAGCCACACAAGCGCAGGTTGTGTTTTAAGTGTTGTCATAGTTGCTGTTCTATTGCTGTGAAGAGACACTGACCGATGCATTGCTGGAAAAAAAATTTTTTTAATTGGAGCTGGCTTACAGTTTCAGAGGTTTAGTGCATTATCATGATGTAGAGATGGTAGCATGTGGACAGACGCGGTGCTGGAGAAGTAGCTGGGAGGTCTACATCTCTTTCCACAGACAGCAGGAAGAAAAAGACACTGGGCCTGGCTTTCTGCTTCTGTCCGCCTGAAGCCACTCCCAAAAGGATGTGGCCACCATTACAGATTCACCAGCTAGATACCACTACAGGCATGGGCTTTTGAAACCTCAAAGTCCACCTCCAGTGACACACTTCCTCCAACAAGGCCACACCTCCTAATCCTTCTCAAACTGCGCCACTCCCCAGAGAGTAAGTGTTCAACTCTATGAGCCCAGGGGCCATTCTTATTCAAACCACCACACTTACCTAAAAGGAAGACATTAATTCTAAAAAGAACAACTTGCTTTTAATTGTATTTGAGTGCATTCTAATAATACTCCTAGGGTAAGCAACCAGGCAGCAGGTGTAGCATGAGGCACGTCTACTGTGTGAGCCCTCCACAGTCAGGCAGAGGCCAGCATAGTCAGACACCAGGCCACAGGCTTGATGTGGGACTCCTGTCACCAGGCAAGCAAGGGGCCTAACTCATCTCTTATTTTGAGGTTGAGTAAGAAAAGGAATGAAGAAATAGGGAAATGGAGAGAGGACCCAGAGGGACCCAAGACCTCCCTAACCCTAAACTGAGTGATCCCATTTCTCCTCATGAGAATAGAGAACACCATATAAAAATTAACAAGTTAGTGACTTTGTGCCATGCTGGCCACATTAGAACACCTGACAGAAACGCCTTAAGGTTTGACTCCAGGCTTTACTCAGGCCAAGGCACAGAAGCCTGTGACAGGTTTATGTCATGATAGCTCAGGACCCACAGAGCTGTGAAGGAAGCTGCACACCCCCATGGACCCTCCTCCAGTGCCCTGCTTCCTCTAAGTCTCCAGAACCCCACAAAGTAGCACCACAGATGGGGACCAAGTGATCAAAGCATGAAGCTACTGGGACATTTCAACTGCAAACCACATCTAGGAGCTCAGCCTCACTCAGTCACGGAAGTGCACCAAGTGTGCGAGAAGTCGACCCCTCCCTTAAAGTCACACAAATATGATTAATATTAAGTAGCATTTTTCCAATGAGACACACGGGTACTCCTAGAATCTACACTGGGGAGCTGGAAATATAACTCTGTGAGTAAAGTCTTTGCTGTGCAAGCATGATGACCCAAGTTCAATCCTAGGAATCCAAATTTAAGATAAATAAATAAAGTTGGGCATGTAGCACAAACTTATCCCAACACTGGAAAGGTGAAGAAAAGTGGATGTGTGGAGCTCACAGACCAGCCAACCCAGTGGAATCTGTGAGCTCCTGACCAATGAGAGGCACTGTCTCAATAATAACAATAGTAATAATAATAAATAATGTGGATGATGGTGCCTGAAGATTGACACCCAAGGTTGACATGCACCCAGCAGTCAAGAGACTGAGATAGAAGGAGAGCTGCAAGCTCAAGCCCAGCTTGGGAGGCATAATTAATTCAAAGCCAACCCAGGCTATAACATGAGACCCTAATGAAAAGCAACAACCACCAAAAATATTGAGAAATCACCTAGAAATATGAGTCAGCACAGTATACCTTTCCAGCCCTGGTCCCCAGGGCACAGGCAGTACACAGAGTCAACACACAACTCAATTCAAAACACCTTGTTATTCCAGCTGGATGGGCATACTTTCTGGATGCATGTCTGTGTGTACATGTGTGCAAGTGTCTACATGGTTGCATGTGCACACATGCATGCATAATGCATAAGTGTATGTGCTTATGTGCACATGTAGAGAGAAATACCTCAAATGCCACTATAAAGATCCTCAAGGCTATTGTGGAAATGTGTTTTAAATGGGCAGAAACAAATTAAACTGGGGAAGAAATTTCCTCTGTCCTTAGCCTCTCCACAATTTGTCATCTGATCACTTACTCCAGCCTATAAGCTTTGCTAGAGACTGGAAGCTATAAAGAGACCCTTACAGTCACTTTGGGAAATAATTCAGCTCTCCATCATTCTCCTGGCAAAGCTCCATTTGCAGGGGAAATCCTGCTACTACTCATGCATGCTTAAAATGTGTCAAGTGGAGAGAAGGCAAAGCAGAGAGATCTGGGATGACTCTTTTAGGGGAACGCATGCCCAGTTCACACAAAGCCTGGGTTCATATAAACCAAACATATACCCATAACCCAAGCAGAGACAGGAGGATTAGGAGTTAGTGTTATCTTCTACTATGTAGCACCTTTAAGGCCAGCCTGGGCTACACAGGATCCTATGCCAAAAAAAAAAAAAAAAAAAAAAAAAAAGTAGAAAAGGAAAAACAAACAAGCCCTTTAAAAATTTGCCAGTGGTTCCCCTGTGGAGGAGAGTTTCAAAAGAATGTTCAACTCCAGAAGCAATTTGCCAGGCAGAATAATAGCTCCTGTTGATGGACAGCTATGAGTCAGGACCTCAGTCCCTCCACCCAAATCCTCCTAGTGAAGACACAGCTAACCCAGTTTTATGATAATCAGAGCAGGGCAATGCCTGAACCTGCCTGGACTTGCTTACTAAGTTCTGACACGGGTTGTCGAGGGGTCCTGGCCTGCCTGGATGGCTACATGAGTATAACACTGAAACAAATGGGAGGGTATGTGAACAGGCAGCTGAAGAGTAAGTATGGGGATGTGTTTATGCTAGGAAACATGCTATTTATGTACATAGAAGAAAAGGGTGTGAAGTCAACAAGCAACAGTTCTTTTCAAAATTGGATATATTTTTAATGAAGTTTTTTTTTCTTTTTTCTTTTTGATGTTCTCTTATGATACTGGACTGATATTTCATAGTGATTGGTTTATTTTTCAATTGGCATTTGAAGAATACATAGGGAAAGAAAAAAACAGTCCCTGTGAGCTAGGTAAATGCAGTTGGAGAGGCTGGCTCTAATCCCGAGCACATCAAATAAAAAACAATAAAAGTTGGGTGTGGTGGTACATGCCTTTAGTTCCAGCACTCGGGGGGCAGAGGTAGATAGATCTCTGTGAATTTGAGGCCAGCCTGGTTTACAGACCTAGTTCCAGGATAGCCTCCAAAGCAATACAGAGAAACCATGTCTCGAAAAACCAAAAACCAAAACAAAACAGAATTTTTAAAAAAACATTAGGGACTTGTGACAAATGTCCTGAAAGCTAGCACTCACTCTGATGTGAATCCCATCCAAAAAAAGAAAAGACCTGTAGACATGCAGAGCTCCAAGATGCTGGGAGAGACATCAAACCTTGTCAGCTCTCTCAGCCAAATGGTCATATCCTCCATGTTTGTCTTAGGAGTACTAGAGCCCTTCTGTGCCTGGACTCCAGAGAAAGAGCCATTTCTTCCCTTTTTAGAGAACACAGTCCCACCTGCTGAGGGATGAGCTGGTCCGAGGCTTTCCCTGAGGCCCTGATGTATAGAGAAGGAAGCAGCCAGTAGTAGCCTGAGGACAGGGTCTTGGGGGACCCTCAGGACCAAACTCTTCCCACCATATGGGGCTATCACAGTCCCAAGGCTGCTGAGTGCTCTGTAATATTCTAGAGATACAGCATATTTCCCTTAGGCAACGTTGTTTGATTATTGTCCTGCTGACTTGGTCCCTCTGTATGACAGTTTCTAAGGACTCTTTCTCCCCTGAAAATAGTATATAAGATGCTGCACATCTTAACAAGTTTGCTTAGCGTTATTAGGCATAGCTTGTGTGAGGCCTCCCCATCCCACAGTCATCTGTCTCCTCGCCTTCTGATCGCCTGGTCTCTCCTTTTGGGACCTGTCACTGAAGAATGATCTGCTGGACCAGTTCACCCACCCTTCCCCAAGGAGTTAATTACAAGATGTCACAGTTGCCAGAGTAGGGGGAGTTGTATTCAAACCATAGCACTAGGATGGCTTCCCTATAAGCTCAGAGTTAAAGATGGTTGTGGTGGTGGTGGTTGTTTTAAGACAGAGTCCCACTATGTAGCCTTGGTGGGACCTGAACTCACAGAGATTCAACTCCTGAGGGCTGCCTCCTGAGAGCTATAATTAGAGATGTGCACTGTCAGGGCTGCCCTTGCTTAGACACAAAAGTCACATGATTTAAGCCCTGGTAGAACAAAGACCAGGGTCAGAATATGAAGTCCCCCTCAGCAGCTCCCAGCTGGGCCCTGGGACTGTGTACTGATAATAGCCCTGAGGGCCACATCCCTATTCATCCCAACCAAGGGTCTGGCATTCTTGGAGACGGAACTTCATCCATTCACCCACCTCATTCCCTTGGCAATGCCACTGTTAGACATAACAAATTATTCAGCATAATAAACAGCTCTCCAATCTCACCTAAGAGTTCAGATCCCAGTGTTCAGGATTGGATTTCACGCTCCCCACAATCCAGTGCCTTGAACTCTTAGCACCAGCAACGAAAGAATTTAAAGAGGCCAGAGAGAACCTTCTGGGTGGTGGGCCTGTGTGATGTCACAAGGGCTATGGGAAATAGAGCTGAGGGAGCAGCCTGTCCCTGATGAGACTCAGGGGTGATGGTTGGAGCAGGCCTGTTCCCTTCTGAATGTGTAATCCTACCCACCTAGCTACCACCTTAAATTTATATTGTAGCTCTTCAAGGCATCATTTTTTATTTATTGGGAAAATATGGGTACATCCTGTCATGATCCCTGACATGCTAGAAAAAACAGGGCCACTGAGGGAATCTG